AGATCAAGATTGATTTAAACCTTCAAAATTAAACTTCCACTGCAAAGATTATTTTTTAACCAAGGGAATGTACCCTGCTTATTCGTCAACATTAAAATTAAATACCGGTTATCGATCATGGCATGCACATTATAAATTAAATTACGCAAAAGGATAGTTCAGATCAGGCTCCCGCTCCGGTGTTACAATCCGATTATAGCTTCAAACTCGACGTAAATATTTTGAAATTAGATGTAGTTGCAACTGAGAACTTAGATTACCTTAAACTTGGCTTTAACTTAAAAGAGATACGCCGTAATAAAATGTGCTTTTTTGGTCGGGAGTATTGTATATTGTACAAAAATTATAATGCGTAGAAGAAAAAAACATTTTAATCACGCGTTTAAATGGTAGCAGTAAAGTATAGTTAAATTATAGACCTATCTAAAGAAACAATAGTTTAAATTAATAGATCTATCATTGATCATCTAGATCTAGATCTAGAATTTAAATCATAGAACGAGTTGTCTAACTTTAAATACTCGCCCTAATGCTATTTTTAGCCGTCTAGGTAAACATAATTTGAAATTAAAACTTTTATTAAGCCTTTTGTAGAAGATTTACAAATTAAATTATAAAACCAAAAACATTTATTTTTTCTTGAAAAAAATAGATCTATATACTGTGACTATACTCACTATACAATTACAAGGAAGTTACAATAATGGTTTATAAGACCAGTCGCTAGGTTTGAGAGTATTGCTGTATGGTTGTTAGGGCCAACAATGGAGGCGGCGTCATGTAAATATTGCTCCATAAAGTGCACAACATGGCGGCTCAAAGAACTGAATGAAAGATAGATAAAATTGTTACAAAATTCCGAATTGTGCCTTTAAAGTATATACTTATTGTTGATGGGCGTTGATGGGAGTTATCAATCTACTAAGTGACACAATCTGATGTTAGTAAATCTAGATTTAAATCGATTGTCTAGTCTAGTCTAGACTCTAGAGTAGAGTCTAGACTTAGACTTAGAGTTCTAGACTAGATCTTTTTTGATCTAGAAACTAGATCTAGATCTAGTTTAGTTTAATTTAATTACAATAATTAATAATAATTTTTAATTAGGACCTATCCTAAAAGTAAAGGCTAAAGGCCTATAGGCCCACTATAAATAATTAATTTTATTAGGCCTAGACTAAGTGTGATAGTAATACTAATAAAGTAATATAATACTATTTAATAGTAGTATAGTTATATAATATAATAAATAATATATAATTATTATTTAATTAAGCCTAATTTAATAAGTCTTATTAGTAATTTGGCATTAGGCTACTATTACTATTAGTAAACTAACTAGGCCTAATTATTAATTTAAAATTCCAATTTGGGTGGGGTGGGGGGGGGGGGGGGGGTAGTTTACTAGTTGTTGACATATTTTAATAATAATTAATCAGAATTTTGTGATAAAGGGGACAGAAGGCTCATTAAGTGTGACATCACATGTTTAGACCTACATTAAAAAACTAATTATTAATTTAAAATTCCAAATTGGGTGGGGGGGGGGGGGGGGTAGTTTACTAGTTGTTGACATATTTTAATAATAATTAATCAGAATTTTGTGATAAAGGGGACAGAAGGCTCATTAAGTGTGACATCACATGTTTAGACCTACATTAAAAAACTAATTATTAATTTAAAATTCCAAATTGGGTGGGGGGGGGGGGGGGGGTAGTTTACTAGTTGTTGACATATTTTAATAATAATTAATCAGAATTTTGTGATAAAGGGGACAGAAGGCTCATTAAGTGTGACATCACATGTTTAGACCTACATTAAAAAACTAATTATTAATTTAAAATTCCAAATTGGGTGGGGGGGGGGGGGTAGTTTACTAGTTGTTGACATATTTTAATAATAATTAATCAGAATTTTGTGATAAAGGGGACAGAAGGCTCATTAAGTGTGACATCACATGTTTAGACCTACATTAAAAAATTATGTTGCAAACTTCATTTTTATTGGGGAAGGGGTGGTTGGCTTTGTGTGACAAAGAGGAGGGGGATTAAAAAACATTTAAAAAGTGTGACATTGTTTATGAATTATCCTTTGCCACCTTTGGCAAATCTTGTTTTTTTAAAACACAAAGTTTATAAAAGCTAACTAATACTGATTAATTTTGTCAATTTATTTTCAGCATTTTAAAGATTTTTAGTGGAAATTTAATTCTCACTGCCGTGGTGCTAGCTTTCTAGTCGATGCAAGATAAATACACAGTGTTCATCTCCAATGCCTCTAACAATATCAGTGGTTTAAATCAAATCAGCATGGGGAAATCATACCTGAAAGGTGCTGATGGCACATTGTTTCCACTCCTACCTAAAGTCACTACAGTTGGAAGAGAAAATTGTGACTTCACAATACAGGTGTGCCTTTTTGGTTTGTGTAGATAAATATTTTTGTACATTAACCTATGACTACAACAATATGTTAAATATTCTTAAGTTGAGAAGTTTTTAATGTAGAGTGTATTAAAAGTTTTTTAGGAAGAAATTTATTTTCTGTAATGAAGGTCTAATGAAACAACATTTTTTTCCTAGAAATTCACAATAATTGTTTCATATATTTCAGCTCCCTGGAGTAGATTACCAGCATTGTGTGATTGAGTACAGTGAGCAAGATGATTGTTTCATCATACAAGATCTCAACACCGCCCAGGGCACTTATGTTAATGATGTTAGAATACAGAATGCAGCTGTCAGGCTTGCTCCTGGGGACTATGTTCGGTTTGGCTACAATGGTCAGCCTTTTGAGTTGCAAGTTGAAAATCAACCACAGGTCAGTTTAACTTTTGTTTCATCTTAGATGTATCTTGATTAATGTTTTTCTTATTAAGGAAAAGAAAAACTTAATTGTATAATCTTTGAAGAGAGTATGGATTGGTACGTCTTTATTTGTTCTATCTATGTGTGGAAACATCCAAAATTATTTTTTGTGTGCGTATCAGCCACATATTAGACATATATGTTTTTAAATTTCAATTTCATGGCACATTATTCTTTTAGAAATTTAGTACAGCAAAAACAAAAATATTCTAAATTTACCCCTTAAAGCATTAAATGTTTTGTCTTTGTTGGTTTAGTCTGATTTTAAACAGTTGACAATTTATTTTTTCAGTTGCGTGGGAGAAATTTAGTATGTTTTTTTTTTAAACTCATAAATTCTTTAAATTTTATTAGCTTAATTCTGCTATATTTTATCAGGTTATTTTAAACTGTATGTAATATAGTTTCTATTTTAGCACTTTTATTCTTTAATTACGGCTACTGTATAAATGTGCTGTATATACTCTTGTGAATATAGACATTTTTTAAAACATTAATGGTTCATAATGTTTGGATCTTCTTTAATTAAATTTTAGTTCCGTTATTTGGTGTCTTTGTTTATAAGGTCCGTTTTATGACTATGTTGATTGTATTTAGGCTTGATTTTTCTCTGAGCTTCAGTTAAAATGAACCTTCTATTACTTCTCAATTAACTGCATGCATCTGATAATTTTTTCTGTACACCCCTGTTAGCCAAAATTAAAGTAATAGCTGACAATTCTTTTCTGAGTAGCATTCATAGTTTTTAAGTGCTACATTTTAAAACTCTCTAATATTTGCATGCAACCTTCTGAGGACTATGGATTTTATTGTATTGTTTTCTATTATTTTAAGTTGCTCAATTTGAAGCCTACATAATGGGCTTTGATTGGAAAAGGAATTTTTTTTTTTTACAATACCTTGCAAAATATTTTAAAAATTGAATTGATAAGTTAAAACTTTAGTTGACTTTTAATTGGTTACTTACTTTTTGCATTCTAAAATCTGTTTAGAAAGCAAGAAAATAATTTACACATAATGATGTCATTTATGTTTAAAAATACTTTTTAACAAACTAATTGTGCTTAGAAAAAGAAAACTATAATTCTAATATAGGCCTACATTAAATTTAATAATTTAATATATATTTTACTTAACCATAACTAATAATCCCCTTTGCCCTGATATTTTTACCCCAATTTTTACTTATGAGCATTCCACCAGATTTCTGCTTACAATCAGCAGATGAGCATTCCCCCAGTGACTCAGAGGCCACCCATATGGAACCAGCCAATCACCATGATCACAGACCAAGACATATACAACACATATGGTGTCTCTCAGTACGGGGGCTCCCAGGGACTGCCCCATATCTCGTATGCCACAACCTCTGTCCAACCTAACGCCCTCTGGTCACAGGCCAACTATTCTCAGCCCCCTCCCCCTGTCCCAAGGCCACCACTGAGGTCAAGGCCGCTCAGTGCAGGGGCAGCCAGGAGAAATGTACAGAATCTCCAGGCAGTTGGCCCTGCTGTACAAAGAACAAGTAGGTCCATTCAGATTTAAAGCACAATGTTTTACTTGTTGTTATTTGATAACCCACTCCAGGGGCAGGAAGGAGAAATGAACAGAATCTCAAGTAGATTCAGATTTAAAGCAACATTTCTTTGTTGTCATTTAATAACCAACAATTCAGGCAATACTAATTTCCCATTTGAAAAAAAAAAGTTTTATTATATTTACTTCAAACAAAACATTATTTTAAGTTTTGTGTACACACTTATTGAACAGGTTATATGCTAAGTTTACAGTTACTTAATACAGTTACATTTTTATGTGTAAAAAATGGAATATCTATTCATCAATATAGAATATATCTTCAGCAAAGGTGTCACATTTATTTTAAATAAGTTTCAACCAAATTATTTAAATTTAAAATTTCAGCTGTTGTTGGAGGATGGGTCAACCAGCCTTTGATGAGAACATCTTCCATCCCAGACCTTCAGGAAAAGGTAAAATATGGCTTCTTGTTATCAAATGATTGATAATTCAGATTATTTTAAATAGCCAATCACCATTAGACTACAAGAAGTATGTCCATCCTAGACCTCCAGGAAAAGGTAAAATACGGCTTCTTGTCATCAAATGATTGATCATTCAGATTACTTTACATAGCCAATCACCATTAGACTACACAGAAATATGTCCGTTGTTGAACACTTGTCAATTCTGTTTTGGTAATTGTCAGAGTTTTTTTGGTTATCATTGAGGATTTACTTAATCAAACAAATTTTTTTTTGCATTTCAATACACATGTACTATTAAATGTTAAAATGGCAATTTTGACAGCAGTACTAAGCATTCTGGTATTACCGTCATACTGTTTGTTTTACAAAAATATAACTATTTTAACTGTAACTCTCATACTAATGTTAGCTATACACCCCATCATTAGCTAAAGGTTTTGTCTTTTGAAGTTTTGTGTTTAATATTTCCATCTCTCAGGAGCAGAGACTCAACCAGTTGTCTGACGAGGTGAACAGATTACGAACATTTGAATTTGAGTCTGTGAGGAAAGACTCTCTTATACAGCAACTTCAGCAGCAGATAACGGAACTTCAAGTACATGATTTTTAAACTTTTCATTAACATCTTTCAGGACTCAGTATTAGCATTACTATTTTTTAAAAGCAATCAAATTCAGAGCATTAAAAAAATTGTTTAAAATTTTTTGCTTTCTTTTGCACAAAATAACCTAAACCTAACCATCTTGCTCATCAAACATGTAGTCATTTTTATTATAATATCGGTTAAATACCTTTAGAAACACTTAGGCTGTAATGAAACTATTATCGATCTAAAGTTGTTTTTTTAGAAATAAAAATCTTACATAACATCAAAAACTGAAATTTAAAAACTTAGTCTTACTGAATTTTAAGAAAACAATTATTTTACTATCAGACAAAAATGAGACAAGAGCCGGCCATTATTATGGGTGGGGACACAGATATGTCAGGCAAGTTGTTACACCTTGAGACTGAAGTCAGTGCCAAAAAAGGGGAAATTAATGCCTTAAAAGAACAGGTGAGTAGATCTACACATTTCTTTGCCAAATCGAACTTCAGGTTCTTTGCATGCCATATTATCTTATTAATATTATCTTAAGGTATTTTAATGTATTTTATCTTGACAAAATTTTAGCTGAACAAACTTCAAGAGGACAGATCCACCAGTCCCCATCTGTTGCGCCAGGAGCTGGGGGAGAGGGTGAAGGAGATCTCCCTGTTGAGGAATGAGCTGGAGAGAGTCAAGAAAGATAAGAACATCACGTCTGGCCTGGTCACTCAGATGCAGCGGGACATGTCCAGCAAGGTAAGATCTGCTCGTGTTAGTGGGGTCAAATGGTATCTGTTCTAAGAGAATTATGGCCTTTTAAAATTTTATTTTCTAACTAAAATTAAATTATCTCACATGAAAGAGCTGTAAGTATTGCTGAAACATTTGTTCAATCAAACAGAAGAAATGTTTTTTCAGATTGATACTGTATTGATGAAAACTAAATTTGAGACTAAAATTAAATCCAAACTAAAGTTGTATTCTGAATTAAATATTGAAATGCAAGAAGACTTGTTTGTCTCAAATATTTAACATTTCATTAAGATTTCCTGATTTACCTTTATTCTTTTTTGCAAACAGAAAACGTACCCCAATTATAAATTAGAATTATACTTTAAAATTTAATTTCTTATTAGCACATTTCTGTTGTAATGCTTCTAAATGATTTTATTCAGTTTTTAAAATGGAGTTTCAAACTTAATCAGAAAACAAATACAGTTACTTGTCCAAAAGAGATAATGTAACATAGCAAGTATGTCATATTCTAGCTCATTGTTTTGTCAAGTTTTGTAAAAATAAATTCCAAACTGTAAACGAAACAAAACTTTGCAGACTCTTGGATGTTGCCTACAAGAGTTAGCAGAAAAGGTATCCACCTAGCTAGTGTGTTTTACATTGGTGTGATCACTGAAGTAATCTATATAAATCACCTGCTGCCTATTTCATGCCTTACATGTTGTTTGATTTGGTTTTTTGTTGTAAGGTTAAAGGTTACATTTAACAGATAAATGTGTTGAAGAGTTCAAAGAAAAAATAAAGAACTACATATTACTTTTTTTTCTATTTTTTTAAATATATTTACAATTTGTAAAATATTGTGTCACTTGATATTTAGATAAACATATAATTTTTTAACACAATTATTTATTAGCTGCTCTACACATTACTTTAGTGAAATCAAGCATTAAAGGGCAATTTTATGTAAATGGATTTGTTGCATTAAGCTTCATTAATTAAACAACATATTTTGACTCACTTGGAAATCCTTTTTCAGAAGCTATTTTCATCTTCTATATAGGCCAGTACAAATGACATATTTATTAATATTTTTACTTGAGCAACATCTCTTTTTTTTTTACAACACATATTAAGTTATAGCTTTCCATCATCAATTGAAAATTGTTTATCATTTCTTCTCCATGTTAGTTTAAAAAATATATATATTTATTTATTTACATAACACAATTTGACATAAACTGTCTGTTACTAATTAGGTATGTCCAAATAATCAATATAATTTAGGTTATAAACATTTCTGCATTCTGTTTACATAAATAGATGTTTAAAAGAATGTTGTCCTTTAAGGTGAATAGATGTAGTGTTAGATGATTTAATAAAACAAACTCTTTTTTTTTTAAATTACAAAAGTGTATTGCAGATTAAAACTATTTTATTTAAAAAACTAAAAAAGCAATTTGTTTGCATTGCACAGAAGTATGATATCATGGCGATGAATATATTAAAAAAAAACTACAACATGTAGAAATTATTTTAGAGCAGAAAATGCAGATCCAAAGCAATACATAACTTTTCTTTGTTGAACGCAGGACTCTACAATCAGCAGGATGGCAAGAGAAATTGAAGTGTTGAAGAAAGATATAAGAGAGAGGGAGATTCAGATGACAGCAGTGAACTCAGCTAAGGTTTGTTTACATTCCATGATCCAGGACCTTTGTCTTCTTTTAAATTCTATTTTTAAGACTTTCTCAATTTTTATTTCCAAAAATGTTTCCACTTAAATTGTTTTCGGTGTTGCTTTGTGTAAAAAAAAAACCCCAGCTAATTAATATTAATATAACAGATATGCTAAAATAAAAAAAAACCCTACTATATTTATTTTAAAAACTGGAATCACTATTTCAAAAATTTCCTTGAAATAATTTTTACCAAGGATTATAACATTTAAATCAAAGATTTCCTCCTGTTTTCTACTAATATTTATTTTCTGTTAAAAAAATCATAATATAATATATTAATAATTATTTAGTCTTTTATAATTTTCCATTTGTGTTTTTTCTTTTGCTTCGTCTTCTAGCTTAGCATGTAACTGATTCTAAAAAAAATTGTTGATTTTTAAAGTGGCACTTTCAGATTATTTTGGCTCAATATTTTAATAAAAAATATAAATCTTCATGTTAATTGAATGATTTTAAAAGAATAATTTTTATATTGTTGAACTGACTATTTTTTGAAGATTTTGCCCATTTTTGTTGTTATGTTTTTGCTATAGCTTTTCTCCCTATTTATTTAAAAGGATGTTCCTCCATATCTGAGGCTAGATGGAGGGGTAAGAAGTCACACTTTGTTTTTTGTTATTTGAGAAAGTTTTGTGGAACATTATTCAGTATTAGAAGCAAACAGCTTCAAATATGCTTATCACATAGGGCGTTAGGGAAAAAAGTAAAAAAAAAAAAATAAATAAAAACAAAAAAAAGTTAAATATTATCTATCTATTTATTTTATATGCATTGGGAGAAAATATCATTATGCCTTGCTTGTTACACTCTTCATTTAGATGAGATGCAATAAATCATTATTGGTGGTTAACTTACAGCTGGCTTTAGTTTTCGTTAGGGTTAAGACATAATTAGAAATAATTATTCATAACATCTAATTTAATCAAATATTTCTTTATTTTGGTGTTAACTGAGAAAAAGTTAGGAGACACAATCATAATGATCACTATATTCTTACTGATGTGTCTGTCAGTACTATGTCAATGTCAGTACTATGTCACAGTAGCTGGTAGTAGCTCCCACTGCTAACACTTTTCAATAATTAATATGGCCAGTGTTTTATTTAAAGTGTATTCACATTATTTATTACTGTAATAGGCTACATCCTAATAGCTCATTTAAACTAACAGACTGCTTACATTTTCACAATGTATCCATACTTCCTTCTTCAGTCACTGCAAATATAGTGTTGTATATCTAAAGGGGGTGATTAAATTTTATATATTTCAGGGAAACTTACAAAACTTTTTGTTTATTTTATTTTAAAGCTTATTTTATATTAAAAACTGTAAGTAAAAATATTGTTGCCCTTTGATTTATTGGAAAAATTTCACTTTTTATATTTTTTTAGTATTCAGAAAATATTATAAAATATAAATGCATTATATTTTAAATTCTTCCTTTGGCCAACAATATCTGTGATATATTATACAACTGTTGTGTTCTTAGTAAGATTTATATAGATTTTATTTATTGACACTTTGTTGGTTAATAAAATATGCTTTTAATTATGTATGCATGCAGTGATTTTATACCACAAAATAATGCCAATTAATTTTTAAAGTTACAGATACTTAATTTTAATCAGCTCATCTTTTGTAATTTATTAAAAAAAGCATTTTTCAATATATGTAATTAACATCACCAAGACTACCATATTTATTTAAATATTTTTTTTGTTGATGTAACATGTAAATACATTAGAAAAAAAAATTCTCATCAAGTTATCTGTTTTTTGCAAGTGATTTTTATTTTCTAATTTTAGAAAACCAAAGACCAGCCCAAGGAAGAAATTAGTGCAAGAGAAAAAGAGCTTATCTCCCTTAGACAGGTACATTTTTTTAAAAATAAGCAGGAAGGGAGTTTTTATTTTACTTGTGTTCAATGCTGCTAGTTCTATTCTATCTACCCTTTAACGATCGGTATAACTGTGCCTGATAACTCATCAACTGAATTTTTTGTTCCAGAAATTTAAGACAGCTGAGAGTAAGGTCCAGGAGCAAACAGACTTAGTGGCTGCTCTAAGGGAGGAGCTGGACAAGTCTAAAGCCTCTTTCTTGTCTGAGAAGGAGGCCCAGAAGAAAATTCTGGCCGACCTTGAGGCTGCCAAAGTTCAAGTGCATGACATTCAGAGATCTGAGAGAGTTGTCAGAGTTGACCTTGAGCAGTCACAGAAAAGGGTATGCCATTGATTTGTTTAACAATGTTTTAACTGCTAAAACTGCACAGTACTGTAAGGGATTATCATAGTTTTGTTAAGCAATTTTTTGACTGCTCAAACTGCCCATTACCTTATTTCAGATGAAAACTAAACAAATCACAGAATTAAAATTGTAACTGGCATAAGTATTTGAAATTGAAACTCAATTATTGTGTTGTCTCTCAGTTTGAAAGGCTGAGAAACAGAGTGTTCCAGGTGATCTACTCAACACCTGGGGTTCAAGCACCTGAGAAAGAAATAAATGATGACGAACTGATAGAAGCTTTGAAGAAACTGGTAGAAGAAAGAGCTAAACAGTTCTCCAAAATAAAAGAGCTAGAGGCAGATGTGGTTGGTGCTAAGTCAGGGAAAGATGAGCTACTAGCACAGGCTACTAAGCTGAAAGAAATTTTAGAGTCCAGTGTGGTAAGTGAAGAGCTTTTAATTGGAGTGAATCATGTGACTTAATGGTTTCAGACTGCTAGTCTCCAGAATAAAGTATGAAATAAATCCTCCCCTTAAATACAAACCTAATTATAATCATACAGTGGGGCAATAAAAAGTTGTTTAACATATGTTATAACTGAGTTGGAAAAATTTAAAAGGTTTTCATTTCCAAATTTTTTTATATTCTAGAAAAAAAATTATATTTTAACTAGAGGTCCACTATGTAAAATAAAGATAGGACTTTTTAGGAGAACAAATGTTTTTAATATTTAAAAAAAACATTTCTTCAGCATCGGTTAAAAGAAAACGGCTACCTCAGCTCATCCCTCAAGCAAGAGCTCAGCATCATTCAGACAGCCAGCACGGAGGATAGCCTTACATGGATACGTGACCTCTTGTTTGAATCAATCTCTTCTGAACTAGAATGGGTAATCAGAACGGAGCAGGCTCTCATCAAATGTGGAGTGAATGTTAATATATCTCATGATGGTAAGATTTGTTCCATTTACTTGATTTAGTTTTTAAATTATCTCAAAATATCCCATTACTATTTCCTAAACTAATACATACAAATTGATTTCAATATTGTTGCCTCATTGGCAGATATTGTAATGTTTTTAAAACATTGTTAAAGATTTTTTTTTAAAATAACTTATTAAGCCTAATTAGAATTTGTTTACACTTTAATAGTACAATCTTTTTTATCTTTTTTTTTTTCAAAAGAACCAAGCAAGCACATTGAAAGTTTGTTTGCTAAGTGGGAGTCTTCTCTCATGGAGGTAGAAAGTTTAAAACAGCAGATAGTGGAGCAAGACAAAACGCACAAGGCTGAACTTGAAGACAAGGCAAAAGCTGTACAATCTGAGATGGAGAGTCTGCTGCAGGATGCTGTAGAGAAGGCCAGACTTGAAGGTGGCAAAATGTGAACTACAGTAGAAATAGTTATTAAATTTTATATTTTTACATTATGGTTATATTTATCAGAAACACCTAAAAAATTGGCCAGATTTTTTAACAATGTTATTTATTTAGGTGATGCCAAGTTGAACATTGCCATTGATGAGATAAGGATGGCAGAGACAGAGAAGAGAGATAGTTGTGTGGAGGTAGAGAGGAGAAAGATTCACGAGCTCGAGTCTGCTTTAGAGCAGCTTAGAGGGGTATGTTTAGGTGTTTATCTCGAGTTGCGCTTTTTTTTAGAGTTTTGTTAATATTTAAGTATTTGAATGTAGATCTAGCAATTTGTTTTAAATCAATTTATTTTAGGTTTTAAAAATAAAAAATGAATTTTATGATAAAATACTATTTAGTAGAAATAGTTTAAATTACAGCATACAGTAAGAAAATATTTACATTTTTAATGTTTGTTAATTGTAAAAGATGTTAATGTGAATTTCTAGATTAGGCTAGTAATTAAAATATCTCGTCAATTACTCTGGTTAACTAATACACATAATTTTTCCTTCAAATAAATCCAGTCCTTGTCAGAACGCCAGGCAGACGACCAGGCTAAATTGATGGAGGCGTGTGCCGCCCTGCAGGAGATAGAGGTCTTAAGGAACACGGAGAAGTCACTGCGGGAGGAAATACTTAAACTAGAGCAGCTGAGGATTGAAGACTCTGAGAAGGTTTGTGTTTTAACCATTAGTATGACTCTGAGAAGGTTTGTATTTTAACCATTAGTATGGTTCTTATTGAATGCACCATTTGCATGGTTCTTATGATTTCATGAACCATTAGCATGGTTCTTATGATTAGCTTGGTTCTTATGATTTCATGCACCATCAGCAAGGTTCTTATGATTTCATGCACCATTAGTATGGTTCTTATGATTTCATGCGCAGCTATCTTACCTATAGTGGTCAAACGTTAACAATGGCCCGTAGTTTAAAATTCTATTATGGCTATTAAGTCATACTGTCCCCTCCATTGTTCTAAGTTTAATGCAGGTTTACTGTGATTCATGGTGCAAATAATAATAAAAACTTCAGCATATTTTTTGTTAACTTTATTTCTATGTAGATATTATATGAACTCATGATTTGCTTGAAAAACTGATAATTTTATCTTCTTGATTATACTAATTATGATAATTATTTGTGATGACTTTATCTACTTGATTATACTAATTGTATTAACTTTATGTTTTTGAATATACTAATTGTTTGTGATAACTTTATCTCCTTAATTATACTGTTTGTTTGTGATAGCTTTATCTCCTTAATTATACTAATTGTGATAACTTTATGTTCTTGATGATACTAATTGTTTGTGATAAATTTATCTCCTTAATTATACTGTTTGTAATGGTTTCAGCTTTCATCAGAGAGGAAGTCTCTTGAGGAAAAGTTTGAGTCAGATTTGTCTACCTACAAAGAACAGATCAAGCAACATTCTGTGACCATCTGCACCATGGAGGAGAGGGTGGAGAAACTGATGAAGAAAAACAAAGACTACCAGGAGCAGATCAACAGTATGTGTGGCAAGGATTTGATTGCATTCAGTGTTTCTTCCAGACTTTTTTCTCTGGGGGGGGGGGGGGGCACTTGAAATTTTCAGGGGGGCGGTAGACTTTCTTCGGGGGGGGGGGGGGGGGGGCGGACACTGTTAAAAGTATATATTTTCTATATAAATTATATAAATTTCATTTCATTCGGGCGGGCGGTAAAAAATTTTCAGGGGGGGGGGGGGGGGGGGCAAAACACCCCCCCCTCTCGAAGAGATGCCTGGAAGAAACTGATTGCATTGGAAATTTGGCCAATCATTGTTTTGTTCAAACAGTTTTTGTTTTAGGACTTGACTGTATAAATTTTGTGTTTGTCTATCAGAAAGGATTTTATTGAATATGTGCCACACTTGTAATTTGGCCAATCGTTTTATCCAAATGTTTTTTTTTTTGAGGATTCAGCTGTATACGTTTATGTGTGTGAGCATCTTGTTGCATGACAATAGCAACTATTTACTTGTATGTCTTAATATAACTTGTTTAAATATAACTGTTTTTTTTTTTTGAGGACTCAGCTGTATACGTTTATGTGTGTGAGCATCTTGTTGCATGACAATAGCAACTATTTACTTGTATGTCTTAATATAACTTGTTTAAATATATCTGTTTAATTAGCAGCTTTATGTTTTAATATAACTTGTTTAAATATAACTGTTTAATTAGCAGCTTTATGTTTTAATATAACTTGTTTAAATATAACTGTTTAATTAGCAGCTTTATGTTTTAATATAACTTGTTTAAATATATCTGTTTAATTAGCAGCTTTATGTTTTAATACAACTTGTTTAAATATAACTGTTTAATTAGAAGCTTTATGTTTTAATACAACTTGTTTAAATATAACTGTTTAATTAGAAGCTTTATATTTTAATACAACAGAGGTGAAATCAGAAAAGTCAAAGCCTGTTCTGGCGCCCAAGCCTAAGGTTATAATAGAGAGGCCCAGAGAGGAGCTGGCTGCACTAGAACATTTGGTCAATGCTCTAAGGTCAGTTGTTTTTTGAGACGATTGATTAATGAACTAAGGTCAAATAACGCTTTTTTGAAAATGATTGATTAATGATTTAAGGTTGATTAATGATTTTTTTGGAGGTGATTTGTTAATAATTTTTAATTTTTTTTTAATTTATGGAGACAATTTGTTAAGGCTTCAAGGTCGCAGTTTCTAAGCTGGGAGGCATGGGACCTATAGAGGCTTAGAATACTGCCAAAAATGGCTTGATAGTAATATACAATATAAAAATAAACAGATCTAAGTAAATATATAGGCCCATGTATAGTTAAAAATATCCATATAATATATTACATCAGTATTTTATTAAATTTTACTCAGTGAATTGCTAAGAATAAGTTATTTTACATTGAATTTAAATTTTTATATCAGTTACTTCCCATTGAGTCTAAACAACTAAGGGAGACAACACATAACTATGCTCCATAAATTTTTTTAATATTACAGAGAAATTCAGTACCAAAAAATTACTAATAAGTATCATTGTTTATGATTTTACTAAACACGATTTAATGAAAACATTGTTCATTGTTCAGACTTCTTATGTTTTAGATTAAACATTCCACTCTAGTCTAAATAGAAAAGTATTACGTTTATTAAATATATAGCTCGAAGACATGTGAAACAATTTTAATTTAGAATTGGTGACAAGAAAATTCAGTTTTTACTAAGATTCAGATCTATGTTACCATTGTAGAGAAAACACAAGTAAAGTTAAAATATTCACAAAAGCTGGTACACACAATAATTTGTAGTCATTGGTTCTAAAGTAAACATTATTTAGAATAAACATTAAATTAAAAAGCCAATGCTGAAAAAATACAGAATAATAATAAAAACACTGACATTACTGCCTAATTCATGTGTCTAATCTTAAAAGTGTTTTTTGTGCAGAGTTTCTTTTATGCATCTTTTTGGGTAGGGGCCAAGCCCCTCCCCCACCCAGCAGAATGTCTAACCCCCCCCCCCCCCCACCATGAAATAAAATGTATATAAAAATATATACCCTTACCAGTTTCGCCCCCCACCCTGGAGAATCTTATTCGCCCCTGCAAAAATTCAAGTGCCCCACCCCGGGAAAAAAATCTGAAAGAAACACTGTCTGCGTGAGTGAGATTTATCAGCCAAAAGTAAGAAATGGGTATCTATTATAGAGGTAGGCTCTACCCTTAATCTGTATGATCTACAAATACGACCAGTGTTTCCTTCAGACTTTTTCTTCCTTTGAGGAGGGGGGGGGGGTACTTGAAATTTTTGGTGTGGGGGTGGACTAATTTTTTTGGAAGGGGGCGGACACTGTAAAAATATTTTTTCTGTAAAAATTATATTATGTTGGATGGGACGGTATACGTGGTTTGGGGTGCGGGGCAGAGACCCCCACCCCCCCCCCCCCCCCCCCAAGTAAAGGCACCTGAAAGAAACTGTAAATGCGACTTATTTCGTGTTTTAGCTTTAGTGCAAGGTTTAGGGGTATGACTTCGACTATGTTTAGTATCAATATGCAGTAGCTACGTGTAGATCAATTTTAAATCAGGTTGAAATTCTGATTCTGGATAAATATGCGTTTGCAATGACATTTTCCGTTTCCAGTTAAATTGTGAAGTTGAGACGGTGATTTTGGTTTGGGTTTAAAGAAAAAGACACTATTAACCTAGCGTCCATTGTATCTCTCCTTCAACGGGCCATTTATCTCGTTTAAAAATAAAATAAAAGTGTAGCTGCAAGATTACCTACAGTAGAATTAGATCTAAAGTAATGTTTGACACAAACGTAGCGCAGATTGCGGGAAAGTGCTCCAAATTACACACGCAGCTATGTTGTAAACTTTTCTCTTTTGATTTTTAATATTTCTATTTTATTTGACATGGCAATAGTTCACTGCTTTAAGCTTAGTTTTTTTTTGTTTCATTTTTTGAAGTTTCTGTTTGTCATTGGTGCTGATTAATCTAGCATCAACCAGTTACAGATGACTTAACTAAAATAATGATGTTAACTTGGCAAATTTATCTAAAATAATGATGTTAACTTCACAAATTTAACTAAAATAATTTTGTTAACTTCACAAATTTAACTAAAATAATTTTGTTAACTTCACAAATTTAACTAAAATAATGATGTTAACATGACACATAAAACTAAAATAATAATGTTAACTTAGCAAATGTATCTAAAATAATGATGTGAACATGATAAATTACATAAGCCCTGTGTTTGCACATGTGAACATTTCTGTGTTGTAGTAGAAGTATTTAAATTGTGAAACAAAACCATCTGGCTGGCTAAATTCTAAAGTGTAATTTTTGTTTGATTCCTTTCAACGGCAACAGAATGACATAACAGAATGACATAACAGAATGACATAACAGAATGACATAACAGAATGACATAACAGAATGACATAACAGAATGACATAACAGAATGACATAACAGAATGACATAACAGAATGACATAACAGAATGACATAACAGAATGACATAATAAAATGACATAACAGAATGACATAAAAGAATTACATAATAGAATTACATAATAGAATGACATAATTTCATCCACACAGGCAGGAGAACTTGGTGCTGAAGAAAGAAATCAGGGACTCTCAAGACGTCATCAAAGGTCTCCGGCGTGATTTGTCCGGCGCCTCGGCCAGACTGTCAGACATCTCTGGGGAGATGAGTGAGTCGCAGAAGCAGGAGATGGAGAGGAACCGTGAGCTGCTGCAGCAGAGGTCCACCGAGTCCACGGAACTCAGGCAACAGCTGGCCAAACTCTCTAAGATCATCGACAGCCAGAAGGAGGAGTTGAGGAAGTTGGAAAGTGAACTGAGGTAAAGTTGGGGAAGTTGGAAAGTGAACTGAGGTAAAGTTGGGGAAGTTGGAAAGTGAACTGAGGTGAAGTTGGGGAAGTTGGAAAGTGAACTGAGGTAAAGTTGGGGAAGTTGGAAAGTGAACTGAAGTAAAGTTGGGCAAGTTGGAAAGTGAACTGAGGTAAAGTTGGGCAAGTTGGAAAGTGAACTGAGGTAAAGTTGGGCAAGTTGGAAAGTGAACTGAGGTAAAGTTGGGCAAGTTGGAAAGTGAACTGAGGTAAAGTTGGGCAAGTTGGAAAGTGAACTGAGGTAAAGTTGGGGAAGTTGGAAAGTGAACTGAGGTAAAGTTGGGCAAGTTGGAAAGTGAAATGAGGTAAAGTTGGGCAAGTTGGAAAGTGAACTGAGGTAAAGTTGGGGAAGTTGGAAAGTGAACTGAGGTAAAGTTGGGCAAGTTGGAAAGTGAAATGAGGTAAAGTTGGGCAAGTTGGAAAGTGAACTGAGGTAAAGTTGGGCAAGTTGGAAAGTGAACTGAGGTAAAGTTGAGGAAGCTGGAAAGTGAACTGAGGTAAAGTTGAGGAAGCTGGAAAGTGAACTGAGGTAAAGTTTGAAGCATTGTAATAAGAAGGTGTCTGCTAACCTGAAAGTCTAGAGGTTGAATCTCATGATCCACCCAGCTCTGATGGGCACCTGACTCATTATGTAAAATAAAGATAGCTTGGCATACAACTGATCACATTATCCCTTTATAAGCTGTGCTGATAGGCTGATAGAAACCGGTCAACTTTTCTTCAATGATAATTATGGCTAGGGCCAATAATTGTGTAATCAAAGCAATTGTAAATATAACTTGACCACTGCTAGTTTCAATATGTCGTTAAGCACAGAGAAAAAAATTGACAATACAGTTTACATATTAATGTTAATTTTATTGCCATTTGACATTCTATCCTTTTAAAATTGAACATGACTTTGTTCTATCCTTTAAAAAATTGAACATGACTTTGTTCTATCCTTTTAAAAATTGGACATGACTTTGTCGACAGCAAAGAACAAAGTCTGTCTTCTAAGTACAAGATGGGGCTAGAGGAGCGCAGCACACAGCTCAAAGTTCTGGAGGGTGAGCTCAACAGAGAGAAGGAGGAACAGAAGAAGCAGCTGGAGCTTATTGATCAGGAGGTGTGTTGCCATGGTTACCACAGTTGTTGCATTCAAACTGTTGTCTTACATTAAGGCCCTCTTATTGTCTTCCATTAAAGCCCTTTTCATTGTCTGACATAAAGGTGACCTTGCAGGCCTACAGAAAGGTTTAGAGTTATTATGAACATTACGGACACTAAGGCAGATCAATCTATCCATGTACATCTTTTTAGCTTTTTGTAAACGTGTTTTGTACCAAAATTGGTATGTGTTTAATTGTGACAGGGGCGGATAACCACAGAGTTGACCAGCCTTGGTGCCCAGTGCAGGGGGGAGAGGCATGAGCAGATCATCAACAGGCAGAGGGAGGCGTTGGCCGAGCTCAGGTCGAAGGTCAAAGTGCTTGAGCAGAACAGGCCACTGTGTTAGTTGATTTTGCCTTGTAAAATAATGGGAACAAGGCCACTTGTGGCTACAGTAGAAACTTAATAGCAAGACTTAATTATGTTTTGCTGCTGTTGAAAGTCAGTTGAACATTGTTTTAATTAAAAAAAATAGTCAATATTTACGGCAAGCAGAATATTTGTCACTTTCTATGATATTAGAAACTTAGTCCAGCCTGGTAGTTAAGAGAAGTTGGTAAAGTATAGTTGGTAGTTAAGAGAAGTTGGTAAAGTATAGTTGTTAGTTTAGAGAAGTTAGTAAAGTATAGTTGGTAGTTAAGAGAAGTTGGTAAAGTATTGTTGGTAGTTAAGAGAAGTTGGTAAAGTATAGTTGGTAGTTAAGAGAAGTTGGTAAAGTATAATTGGTAGTTAAGAGAAGTTAGTAAAGTATAGTTGGTAGTTAAGAGAAGTTGGTAAAGAATAGTTGGTAGTTAAGAGAAGTTGGTAAAGTATAGTTGGTAGTTAAGTGTAGCCAGATAGTTTAATGACAGGTGACACTTTAAAAAAAACTGACAAACTGACATTAGTTGTAGACATGGTGTCAAACACAAAATTATATGTCATGTTGACCTCTAAACTCCTTGACTTTGACCCCGCAGTACCCACCCAGGACCAGGCACTACACCAGGTACTCATGCTGAAGAAGGAACTGGCTGAGATGAGGGTCAACCAGGCTATGGCTGAGGACAAGATTATCAAAGGCGCCACCTCACTGGACAGAGAGATTGGCAAGGCCAGGGGTCTCATCACGCCAGCAAACTTTGAGGCGGACATGGAGAGGAGTGCTCACAGGGAGACCATGGACGCACTAGACTGCAGTGAAGCCTCCGTAAGGCTGCTAGGAACTAACTTAAATATAATGTTATGAAAGATGGATGGACTAGACTGCAGTGAAGCCTCCGTAAGGCTGCTAGGCACTAACTTAAATATAATGTTATGAAAGATGGATGCGCTAGACTGCAGTGAAGCCTCCGTAAGGCTGCTAGGCACTAACATAAATATGTTATGAAAGATGGATGCACTAGACTGCAGTGAAGCCTCCGTAAGGCTGCTAGGAACTAACTTAAATATAATGTTATGAAAGATGGATGGACTAGACTGCAGTGAAGCCTCCGTAAGGCTGCTAGGCACTAACTTAAATATAATGTTATGAAAGATGGATGCGCTAGACTGCAGTGAAGCCTCCGTAAGGCTGCTAGGCACTAACATAAATATGTTATGAAAGATGGATGCACTAGACTGCAGTGAAGCCTCCGTAAGGCTGCTAGGCACTAACTTAAATATAATGTTATGAAAGATGGATGCACTAGACTGCAGTGAAGCCTCTGTAAGGCTGCTAGGCACTAACTTAAATATAATGTCATGAAAGATGGATGCACTAGACTGCAGTGCTAGGCACTAACTTAAATATAATGTTATGAAAGATGGATGCACTAGACTGCAGTGAAGCCTCCGTAAGGCTGCTAGGCACTAACTTAAATATAATGTTATGAAAGATGGACGCGCTAGACTGCAGTGAAGCCTCCGTAAGGCTGCTAGGCACTAACTTAAATATAATGTTATGAAAGATGGATGCACTAGACTGCAGTGAAGCCTCTGTAAGGCTGCTAGGCACTAACTTAAATATAATGTTATGAAAGATGGATGCACTAGACTGCAGTGAAGCCTCCGTAAGGCTGCTAGGCACTAACTTAAATATAATGTTATGAAAGATGTATGCACTAGACTGCAGTGAAGCCTCCGTAAGGCTGCTAGGCACTAACTTAAATATAATGTTATGAAAGATGGATGCACTAGACTGCAGTGAAGCCTCTGTAAGGCTGCTAGGCACTAACTTAAATATAATGTTATGAAAGATGGATGCACTAGACTGCAGTGAAGCCTCCGTAAGGCTGCTAGGCACTAACTTAAATATAATGTTATGAAAGATGGACGCGCTAGACTGCAGTGAAGCCTCCGTAAGGCTGCTAGGCACTAACTTAAATATAATGTTATGAAAGATGGATGCACTAGACTGCAGTGAAGCTTCTGTAAGGCTGCTAGGCACTAACTTAAATATAATGTTATGAAAGATCACTAGACCTCAGTGAAGCCTCTGTAAGGCTGCTAGGCACTAACCATAAATATAATGTTATGAAAGATGGATGCACTAGACTGCAGTGAAGCCTCTGTAAGGCTGCTAGGCACTAACTTAAATATAATGTTATGAAAGATGGATGCACTAGACTGCAGTGAAGCCTCCGTAAGGCTGCTAGGCACTAACTTAAATATAATGTTATGAAAGATGGACGCGCTAGACTGCAGTGAAGCCTCCGTAAGGCTGCTAGGCACTAACTTAAATATAATGTTATGAAAGATGGATGCACTAGACTGCAGTGAAGCCTCTGTAAGGCTGCTAGGCACTAACTTAAATATAATGTTATGAAAGATGGATGCACTAGACTGCAGTGAAGCCTCCGTAAGGCTGCTAGGCACTAACTTAAATATAATGTTATGAAAGATGTATGCACTAGACTGCAGTGAAGCCTCCGTAAGGCTGCTAGGCACTAACTTAAATATAATGTTATGAAAGATGGATGCACTAGACTGCAGTGAAGCCTCTGTAAGGCTGCTAGGCACTAACTTAAATATAATGTTATGAAAGATGGATGCACTAGACTGCAGTGAAGCCTCCGTAAGGCTGCTAGGCACTAACTTAAATATAATGTTATGAAAGATGGACGCGCTAGACTGCAGTGAAGCCTCCGTAAGGCTGCTAGGCACTAACTTAAATATAATGTTATGAAAGATGGATGCACTAGACTGCAGTGAAGCTTCTGTAAGGCTGCTAGGCACTAACTTAAATATAATGTTATGAAAGATCACTAGACCTCAGTGAAGCCTCTGTAAGGCTGCTAGGCACTAACCATAAATATAATGTTATGAAAGATGGATGCACTAGACTGCAGTGAAGCCTCTGTAAGGCTGCTAGGCACTAACTTAAATATAATGTTATGAAAGATGGATGCACTAGACTGCAGTGAAGCCTCCGTAAGGCTGCTAGGCACTAACTTAAATATAATGTTATGAAAGATGGATGCGCTAGACTGCAGTGAAGCCTCCGTAAGGCTGCTAGGCACTAACTTAAATATAATGTTATGAAAGATGGATGCGCTAGACTGCAGTGAAGCCTCCGTAAGGCTGCTAGGCACTAACTTAAATATAATGTTATGAAAGATGGATGCGCTAGACTGCAGTGAAGCCTCCGTAAGGCTGCTAGGCACTAACTTAAATATAATGTTATGAAAGATGGATGCACTAGACTGCAGTGAAGCCTCCGTAAGGCTGCTAGGCACTAACTTAAATATAATGTTATGAAAGATGGATGCACTAGACTGCAGTGAAGCCTCCGTAAGGCTGCTAGGCACTAACTTAAATACAATGTTATGAAAGATGGATGCACTAGACTGCAGTGAAGCCTCCGTAAGGCTGCTAGGCACTAACTTAAATATAATGTTATGAAAGATGGATGCACTAGACTGCAGTGAAGCCTCCGTAAGGCTGCTAGGCACTAACTTAAATATAATGTTATGAAAGATGGATGCGCTAGACTGCAGTGAAGCCTCCGTAAGGCTGCTAGGCACTAACTTAAATATAATGTTATGAAAGATGGATGGACTAGACTGCAGTGAAGCCTCCGTAAGGCTGCTAGGCACTAACTTAAATATAATGTTATGAAAGATGGATGCACTAGACTGCAGTGAAGCCTCCGTAAGGCTGCTAGGCACTAACTTAAATATAATGTTATGAAAGATGGATGCACTAGACTGCAGTGAAGCTTCTGTAAGGCTGCTAGGCACTAACTTAAATATAATGTTATGAAAGATCACTAGACCTCAGTGAAGCTTCTGTAAGGCTGCTAGGCACTAACTTAAATATAATGTTATGAAAGATGGATGCACTAGACCGCAGTGAAGCCTCCGTAAGGCTGCTAGGCACTAACTTAAATATAATGTTATGAAAGATGTATGCACTAGACTGCAGTGAAGCCTCCGTAAGGCTGCTAGGCACTAACTTAAATATAATGTTATGAAAGATGGACGCGCTAGACTGCAGTGAAGCCTCCGTAAGGCTGCTAGGCACTAACTTAAATATAATGTTATGAAAGATGGACGCGCTAGACTGCAGTGAAGCCTCCGTAAGGCTGCTAGGCACTAACTTAAATATAATGTTATGAAAGATGTATGCACTAGACTGCAGTGAAGCCTCCGTAAGGCTGCTAGGCACTAACTTAAATATAATGTTATGAAAGATGTATGCACTAGACTGCAGTGAAGCCTCCGTAAGGCTGCTAGGCACTAACTTAAATATAATGTTATGAAAAAAAAATATCCTTTAGCTCACCTTGAAAGTATATAAATGAATTTTTTACGTGGCCTGTAGGTCTAAAAGCATTATAGATTTAAAATTAGAAGCCTAAATAATTAGCCAGATAAACAAACATAATTTTTACAGGCACTATGTCTATATATTATCAGCTAATAAAAAAGTTAATACTTATTTATAGAAAAATTAATAATGATATTAGAACCAATTAGATTCTTAATTTGATTGTATTGCAAGTTATTATTTTGTTAGATTTATAAATGTGTGAACATAGACATCAGTTGATTTTTAAGAAAAGGGGAAATAACCAAAAAATGTTTTTTACAGTTCATGTCCTTGCTGAGGTCCATGGCCTGCACACTGGACATTGAGCAGATCGAGGGGCTGAGGCCAATGGCACATGCACCCAGGGATGAGAGGGAAGCTCTGCTGGCCGCCAGAGAACGGGCGTGTCAGTTGCTGACCAGTCGCATTCAGGTGCTCAAGGAGAGGATAGCTAGGAAGGATGAGCTGCTCCAGGGCTACGAGACAGACCTGACAAAACTCAGGTAACATAGGTGGAGTAGAGTGCATCTGCTCCAGGGCTACGAGACAGATCTCACAAAACTCAGGTAACATAGGTGGAGTAGAGTGCATCTGCTCCAGGGCTATGAGACAGATCTCACAAAACTCAGGTAACATAGGTGGAGTAGAGTGCATCTGCTCCAGGGCTACGAGACAGACCTGACAAAACTCAGGTAACATAGGTGGAGTAGAGTGCATCTGCTCCAGGGCTACGAGACAGACCTGACAAAACTCAGGTAACATAGGTGGAGTAGAGTGCATCTGCTCCAGGGCTACGAGACAGACCTGACAAAACTCAGGTAACATAGGTGGAGTAGAGTGCATCTGCTCCAGGGCTACGAGACAGACCTGACAAAACTCAGGTAATATAGGTGGAGTAGAGTGTATCTGCTCCAGGGCTACGAGACAGACCTGACAAAACTCAGGTAATATAGGTGGAGTAGAGTGCATCTGCTCCAGGGCTACGAGACAGACCTGACAAAACTCAGGTAACATAGGTGGAGTAGAGTGCATCTGCTTCAAGACAACAAGACTGACCTGACAAACTGAGATAACAGCTGGACCAATACAGGGCTACATGACAGACCTAAGCAAATGTAATTAGAGTCTTTAGTAAAAAGTTAGGCAGTTGAATCTCTATCATTGATGTATTTAAATTTGAAACATTTCTGCAGACAATCTCAAGACTTTGCTGCCAGAAAATCTCAAGAAGTGGAAGCTTTAGCTGTAAGATTTCTATTCATTGATCAAATAGTAGATTAAGTCTAGTCCTCTCACAATCTACAGATCCAAACTCAAGACCTTTGGTCTAGCGACCAAACATATTACCTTTCGACCATGCCGTTCCATAGTTGTTTAAATAGCTTTATATATATTGTCTCAGACAACATAGATGTGTAAATAGCTGTGTTAGTATACCTCCCAAACGTTTGTTGTTTAAATTAGCTGTACTGTTCAACATCACAGAAATATAAATGTGTAAATAGCTTTGTTGTTTAACCTCCCAGAATGACGTAAGAACCAAGTCTGAAGAGTCAGAATATTTGCGGGAGTCACTGAGTAGAACAAGAGATAAACTGAACCAAGAGAAGAGGTTAAACTCTGCTATCAAAGAGAAAAAAGTAACTATAAACGTTCTGTTTATTTTTTTTTTAAATAACTTTATAGTTAACAATTTTTTTCCATTTATCATAAGTTAAGACATATTGGAACATTTGGTTAATGCAAACAAACTTGTGTGTTTAGGGCTTTAGATGGCAAATTTTTTCTGTGGTAAAATTGGAACATTAATAGATTAGCCAATAGAATATAAGTATTATTTTATCCAAATAAACAGAAGTTTTTATTTTAACATTTTAAAAAAGCAAAGAGTATATCAAAGAAATATATTTTTAATGTAGACTTTCCACCTGGAGAATGAAAGAGCTCACTTACAAAACAATGGTCGTGTTCATCATCATTGTGCTGTAGAAGATCCCAAGGTAAGGATCTAGTGTTAGCACCTGAGTTAAGTAGATCATTACCTGAGGTGACTAAATAATTACTTAAGTTAACTTTATAATTATTTGAGTAAACTAAACAATTACCTGAGTTGAATAGATAATAACTTGAGTTAACAAAATAATTTTCTGAGATGACTATGTACCTTGTTTGTTCTGTTATAACTCGAGTTGAAAAGACAGTTACCTACGTTGACTAGATAATTTGTCTGATCCTTGAATGAGGAAAATAAAACTACTAAGTACTTCTCACTTGTCGAGTATAAAGAAATACAGTTTTCAAAAACAAAGCACACATTTTTAATCACCTCTTAAAATAAATTACTGCTGTTTAACTTTATAAATAACAACATTAAATTATTTTTTCTTAAGGACAGCTTAAACCCCCTAATTGATTTTTAGTAATTAGACTTACTTACCTAGCTTAAATAATGTAGGGTGATGACAAAATCATAAGAAAAGCCAATTTTTGCTCGCAAGTATTGTATACATTCATTTAAAATAAATTAAGTCTTGAAATTTGTTGAAAAACAGACTTGCTCTTGTACAGAGTATAACAAAAACTAGCGAAGATATTGAAATAAAACTTAGCACCAACATTATTTATTCCCTTAAGAATATAATGAACTAAAAAAAATTAAGTTGGCATATCAAATTTTTTTTTTATTACATTTTTAGTCAAAGGGCTGAAAATTAACAAGTGTGGGGTTCAGGAAAAAATTGTTTAAAAAAAATCTATAATAGATACAGCTATTATTTTAGTTCAATTTGTTCTTCTAACTTTCAGTTATGTGTGTGCAAAATTTAGTACAAGTATATTGAAAATTGTTGGAGATATGATGTACACAAGAACTATTTTTCACAGTCGTTTTCTCCAAAATTAATGCCACAATTTTTTTATGGAAGTATACAATATTTGTAAGCAAAAAGTGTTTTTTTTGTGATATTTTCACCACCCTACTTGATTTAAAATAAGTAAAGTAAGGCTAATTTCAAAAAAGTTAAAAAAGGGGGTTTAAGCTGTCCTTAAGCCTTTTCTTTGAATATTGGCAGATTGTTATTGTTAACAGTATGTTAGATAGTCTTATTAGCCACAATTAAATTTTTGCTGAAAAACATTTTTTAATAAGTTTCTAAAAAAATATTCTTGTACCATCCAGAATGTTGCCAAAATTAGGAAGCAGAATGACACAATCAAACGCAAGAACTACATGATCAAAACCTTGAAAGAAGACCTGTGTGAAACAGAGAAGGAGCTGTATGAGAGAGATAAGAGGCTGATTTCCTTTGAGACTAGCAGGGTGAGTTTTGGCTGATTTCCTTTGAGACTAGCAGGGTGAGTTTTGGCTGATTTCCTTTGAGACTAGCAGGGTGAGTTTTGGCTGATTTCCTTTGAGACTAGCAGGGTGAGTTTTGGCTGATTTCCTTTGAGACAAGCAGGGTGAGTTTTGGCTGATTTCCTTTGAGACTAGCAGGGTGAGTTTTGGCTGATTTCCTTTGAGACTAGCAGGGTGAGTTTTGGCTGATTTCCTTTGAGACTAGCAGGGTGAGTTTTGGCTGATTTCCTTTGAGACTAGCAGGGTGAGTTTTGGCTGATTTCCTTTGAGACTAGCAGGGTGAGTTTTGGCTGAGTTTTTTATCTTCTTCCTATCATCAGCCACGTTTACAAATGGTGGAAATTTTCAGCACTTCTTTAAGTCTCGTGAAAAAGTTTTAGCTTAAGTCTGGTAAATTATTGTTCATTGGTACATAGAGTTTTGTTAACACTGTCTTCAAGCTCCCATTAAAGTTGGGGCACTGTAGGACATTTTACACCCATGAAAGTTGGGGCAGTGTTGGACATTTTACACCCATTAGAGTAGAGGCACTATGGGATATTTTACACCCTTTAAAGTTTGGGCACTGTAGGCAACACAGAACTAGACTAAAAGACAAGACAGGGGTCATCCATAAATGACGTCATGTATTTTTTAAACGATTTTTAGCTCACCCCCCCCCCCTCCCCTGCATCACACATTGTCACAAGAGCCCCCCCTCCCCCCCACTAAAATGATGTCACACTTCAGCCTACAATTGCCCCTCAAAATTGCAGTTGAATTTTTCATAAAATACGATATTTTCAAAAATCTTATCTGAACTCTGTAAACATTGAGTATTTTAATCAATTCCTATTATAATTTAAAATTAATGCTTTTATAAAACATGAAATAATGGCCAAAATTCATTTTCTTACATGATTTTTTTATAATGCAAAAGTGTGACATCACACCATCTGAACACCCCCCCCTTCCCCCTCACAAAATTATGGACCCCCTCCCCACTACCAGTGTGACCTCATTTATGGATGACCCCACATACAGAACTAGACGAAAACACGAGACTCACAGAACTGGGCTGAAAAAAATGGACAAAGTCGCTGAAAGGGGTAAACACATTTGATAAAGACATTTATTTAGAGGATAATGTAACATAAAGTTTTCAAAATACAACAAGTCTGTCAATGCAGACAATTTGATCAATGATACAGCTACTGGTACTAAATGAACATCAGTTTATTGGAAGAAAACAATTCAAATTCTAATGATAACAGAAACATTTTTAATTTACTAATCTCTCATTATTTAGTAGATGCATGTAATCAAATAATGTAAATAATTTCTTAAAAAATCAGACCAGTAAGACCTTGACATAGTTATATGGGAAATTGTCTGTTGGTGTTTGGGATTAGATTATTTCCCTTTACTTCAAGATAACTGGCTATGTCTATGATCACTATTAAACACAATAAACCTTAAAAAACACAACTTCTAATTCACAACAGGTTCTATTGTAAAAGTGACGTGATTACTCATTACTTTTATTCTAAAATATCCAATGTAAATATGAAATTTGTTACTTCATTCATTTAACACATGAACAATGAGACATGTTTGAATAATTAACATCATGCCTTTAATTAATAAAAGCAATTCTACATCTTCAACATAATACTCACAATCAGTTTACAAAGTCTTATGTTGGAAGAAAAATAAATAAACAATTATTGCAAGGATTAAGTAGAATCAATATGTAAATAATCAAACAAAGCAGAAAATTTAAAATACAGTGTAATTTTTCATTAAACTGATTGCAAATTGGATTACATTTCTGTTGATTAAATGCCACAGTAAAAAGGCTTAGGAAGGAAAACAAAATTCAACATTATATAAAACCAGTTCAAACATAAATATTTGTTTGAAAACACAATGCTTTGAAAAACTAGAAATGCAATAATAATTGTTTAGGTGTTTTTTTTAAAGATTTTGAAATATAGATACATTTTTCATAAGTGTTTTAAACTTTTTAAGTTAAATTGAAGTATATAGTTATTCTTCCATGGGGGTAGGGGAAATACATTGTGGAACTGTTAATGTTTAGGTAGAAAATGGTGTAATTTGTGATACTCTTGCAACATTGGCCACTAAATCAAAACATTGTCATGTATATACATGGGAAACAAACCCTACAGAAATATAGCACACCAATTAGTCATACAATGTTCCCAAGAATACCAGCAATTGTGTCATCATATATCTTGACAAAGTACAATCTTTCAAAATAATTTGCTGTTTGGGAATGATATTTAAAAAAGCAATAATATTAGAAAATGTTTTGCATTATGTGAAGCTATACATCTAGTTTTACAAAGTTTAAAAAACACCTTTAATTTATTCTTTAACAAAGTTTAAAAAACACCTTTAATTTATCCTTTAAAGTGGATATAAAAGCAGAGAATCAAACTAATTTTTTGAACTATGTATTATTTTTTGTGAATATGAAGAATGAATGTATAAAAAAAACATACTTGACGTAAGTGTATTTATGTGAGGAATATTTGAGAGGCAAAAATCATGAAATGTAAATCTATTTGGATACTTTGAGAGAGATCAAAATTGAGAGATTTTTTTTCTTATTAAATAAGTTGCTAACTTATCTGAATTCAATTGTAAACTAGTATGTTACATTTGTTCAAATATTACAGTATGTATAGTATTTAGGGTATGAAACATATATTCAAGATGACACAAAAATAATGAATTTGTAGTGCATTAACATTATACAATGCATATAGATAATTGAAGACTTGTAAACAAATTGCTATCTAAAAATTGAATAACAATGTAGTTCAGTCATTTATTATTTAAAAATAGGATTTTATGAAAGTTAATGATACATAGAAAAATGTAGAGCATTCATTTACAAATATATAAAAATTGATGTTATATGTATGTAAGCTGAAAATGTTTTCAGCTGAAGACAGCAACTGACTGTCAAATGTTTTGTTGTCTTGACATGCATGCATTGTGTTACATATGTTACCAACTTTGATAAATGTCAGCAAATGTGAGGATGTAAAAACTCACATGTAATATATGTGGAGAATAAAAACATGATACATATTTCTTTCAATAATTAACTTCATGATTTTAATTTGATAAGTATTATAAAAGCTAAGAAATAACAAGATCTAAAAACTTTTTTAAACATTATTTATATTATTGGCTTGGTATAAAAAGTGTAGGTAGCTCAAGTTAATATTTTAAAAAGACCCTAGCAACCAACATGTTTACTTACCCACCTTAAGAAAATTAATGTCCATCTTTTAAGTGCTATGTTTCTATAAAGTTTCTATAAATATTTTTTTTTTCCTGATATTTAGGAGATGTAAAACAAATTGAATAGGTACTAATACTGAAATGCTGTAGCCATGAGTGAATAATCTCCCCTTTAGACATCAAATAGCTTCAGGAATTGTTTTAAGAATTCATGCATACACAAAAACTCAATACACATTATATCTGGGTTATTTGGGTTATTTCTCCTTATTTGCTCCTTTTTATAGTGATCATTAATTAATTATTATAAATTTCCTTTAGATATAAGTATGTTAAAACTGATATTAAAATGCATGTGAGCTTAGCTAGCTATACAGTATACACAAGGGGGCTGTACTCTTGTATCCCTTTAGACTAAAATGATAGCAAAATTCATCTGAGTGTGATCTAGTAGTACATAAAGGGGCTTTACTCTAGCATCCCTGTGTCCATAATGTGAGCTGCTCTTTTACATCTAGGCTCACATAGTCTGACTAATCTTGCTGGGGCAGTTTTCTTTGTTTATATTACTGGGCTAGTGACATGACAAATTATTACTGATAATGTTGTGCTGTTTAAAAAAAATGTCAGTCATAAATCAACTAGGCTTTTAATTTGGGGAGTCATAAAAAGACAACATGGTCTAAGAATAAATGTTCAGGAAAAAGTAAATATTCCACACCTTTGATTTATTGTTTACATATATATAACTTTGTTTGAGACTGAGAGCACACCCATTGTAACGTTGTTTTAGTTTTTAGTTTGTGACATGAACTGATATGAAATATCAACCCCATGACTCTGGGGTTTTGCAAAGTTTGGTACCAAAAATAACACCAACAGCCATTACCATCTCATCAATAAATCATGGTCTAAAACAAAAAGTGTTTGACAACAATTTCAGATGTTGGACCAACCAATGTAACTCAGTGGGAGTCCACCAAACAACAAGCTTCTGATAAGATCAAACAAGCCTGAAGATTGATGCAAGTTTGTCAACTTCAACTCAGCAGCAACACAACAGATGTCAAACCAGCAGGGGCTTCAACCCAAGGGAGACTAATGTTGATGATAAGGGTTGTTTTTTCTTTTATTGGCAGTCGATTTAACCTCATTACTTAAAATGTATTAGAAGGTACTTTAATTAATACATAGTTAAAAGTATAAAAATATTTTTTTTCCCTGTAAAATAAAGAATAAACTTTGAAAATTTTATTATATTTTAAAAGTTAAACATAATTTACAAACAATATATAGAGCAAAATTCATTTTACATAATTTAAAATATATGAGTAGCACTAGTAATAATTGAAAATCATTAATACTTAAAATGAATTAATTTTAGTCAATTCAAATGTTGCCAAAATATTTTTGCCTTAGAATTCAATTACAAAAAAATTCTATTTCTTGCAACCACTCTACCACATCATCACAACACATTTTAAAATAATATTTAGTTTATTTACTGAAAGAAAATAAATCTTTCTATAAATCATGTTATTAAAATGTTGTTAGTCTTGTAAATTATTGCTTTATACAATAAGTGCCACCTTTCATATCATCCTAGCTGCAATTCACATTTTTTTCTTTTTTTTTTTTAACAATCTGTTTAATAATTGAATAAATAATTTGCACTTGTTTTTGACTGGGTTTACAACTTTGCTTTTGTTGAATGGGAGAAAGGGTATTTATTGATTGCTTTATATAAATCATGAAGAGAATATATCTTGTTCTAAAGTCGGTTTTTTCAAGTGCCACATTGTAATTTTTTTATCAGTGCTTTAGATTGCCGAGAAAATGAAAGTGGCTATGAGTTTTTTCAAAAGATTGGTGATTGCATTATTTAAATTGAAATCATGTTCTGTGATATAGATGTTACATGGAATAACAGAGAGCTGGTGTAGCTTAAGTGTTGCCTTGTGATGCCTATTTTTTAAAAATATATCATTTATTATATTATTTATCAATTTAGCTCTAAAAGAACTGATAATTTTACCTTACATTATATGATATGTATGCATATTTTAATTTTATAGGCATTCTTAAAAATCTTTATAACATTAAGTACAATTTTTAAAAATTACTAGACATCTTTACACTACTTAATTCATTAAATGCAGTTTTTAAGTTTTAAAATTAAATGCAAAGGTACACATTAAAAAAAATGTGTTAAAAATTCAATTGTAATTGATTTAACAATCTAAATTTTATAGTAATATTTATAGTAATATTATTTATCAATATTACAGTTAAAAATATATAGAATTATATTATTCTTTTTTTCGGCTAGTTTTAATCTAGTCCTTGCCTTCATATACAACAATTTTACAGTCATTTTGATGTTTGCATTATCTTCTTTTTTCTATGTCAAAGAATATGTGATAAAAAGTTGTAAACTAACTTTAAATGCCATTATTTTTTAAAAATAATATTGTTTATGTAATTAATTTTTTAAAATGAAAACCATATTTTGTTTCATGCCTGCGTACACAACCAATACATTTTTTTTGCTGTCTCATTGTATTTCAAATTTCAGCACAATCATTAGATGTATACACTTCCAATAATTAATCATAGGCCAAAATAAATTACAATACTTCTATCAATAAAATTAAATGTATAAAATGGAACAAAAGTGTTTTTAACTTATTGGCAGTTTGTTTTTAGAGACCATCATTTCTTCATGCTTCATATCAATCTAGCAAGCATGTTTACAATCATGGTGATAGAGAACATTAATTATATTAGAGAAAATGTTAATTATGTTGAAAGAAGAACCAAATTCTTTAAGGCAATTGTTGTGACAGATCCGTCATGTTTAGACAATAGCCAGGAGAATTAGACTCCAGCAACATTGTTCTTCATGGATCAGTGACCTTTACGGTTGGGGAATTACTAACTTCTAACAAAATGTGACAGTAGGAGATAGAGGTAAATAATATTTTTAAAAAGTTGAAATTATATTCACAAAATATTTTGGTTTAGAACTTTTAAAAGTTTTTACGCAACAGAATTACGTAAGAATTGTTTAAAATATGAGTTTTTATTTAAAAAATCAAGTTGTTTGTACCTCTCCCCAGAGTTTACACAAAATGAAAGCTGTCAAAGAATTGCCTTAAAAACGTGTTGACTTGACATATTCTTTTTGACTTGATGAAGCATCTATATTGACTCAACAGGCAACATTTTTGTCACTTTCACACAACAAGGACATTTTAAATGTTTTAAACTTTAAAGAGATGATTCAGAATGTGAATTAGTTTGAAGTTATGTGGTGTTAAAACAAAATATGTTTAATGCCAATTAGTTATTGTGATCTAAATCTATGTGATAAGTTCGTTTTAACTATATATATATATATATATATATATATATATATATATATATATATATATATATATATAGTGAAAATGTCAGCAGCTTCAACAGAAAGGGAAGGTGCACATATCAACCTGAAAATTATACAATTTCTCGTAGATTCCCATTCTGTTGAAGCTTTTGACATTTCAGCGTGACCGTATCTGTTCTATTTTGGGCTATTTCAACAAGTAAAACAGCAACAACAATGTGTTAGCAGCTTCTAGTGGTCCCACTAACATTCACGCTAACACTAATTTCATCAACTCTAAACCACAACAATGAGCGTGATGATACTAGCCTAATTGCGACATTATCATTATCAGACCATTCTTTGTCGTTTAGCAAAATTATTCTTTACATTAATAATTACAAGTAAGTCTACATCGTGACAACAAAAATGTATACGATAAAAATACATAATATTTGAATTCACTAGACCATTTTTTGAACTGTTGGTTGTACTAAAGAAACATGAACTTACAGTAAAACAATTTCTGATATTGAGTAGCCTGCTTCAGTGCTGGCTACTCAGATACCGTAAAACATTCCATTGATCGATCCCGATCAATATGTCTACAAAAGAGTTTCATTTTGATACGTTTTTGTCGCCCGATCAATATTTCGCCCCTTGCCAATCTAATAGTCAGATGAAGTTGTTTTATTTCCTTTTCAGAAATTGTGTTGTTTGATTGCAAACAACATGATACGGGCCTATTCTTGGAGCTCTTTGTATTTACGTTGACCTTGACCTAGTAATGCCTCAGTTTATAGATCAGGGTAACTAAAACATTCTAAGTTATTTAAATATTCGTTAAAACGAAACTATTGAACAGGATCATGTCGAAAATTCTGAATAAACTGTGTATTCCAGTGCCAAATATTTTTTTGAAAGACATGCATCACTTCTGGGCTTAACAACCGAATATAGGTCATCCTTGCCTCACTTTCGGTATCAAAACCGAATGTAGGTCATCCATGCTTCACTTCCGAGATTAAACAACCGAATGTAGGTCATCCATGCTTCACTTCCGAGATTAAACAACCGAATGTAGGTCATCCATGCTTCACTTCCGAGATTAAACAACCGAATGTAGGTCATCCATGCTTCACTTCCGGGATTAAACAACCGAATGTAGGTCATCCATACTTCACTTCCGGCATTAAACAACCGAATGTAGGTCATCCATGTTTCACATCCAGGATTAAACAACCGAATGTAGGTCATCCAACGTTCTGGCGACGTTGTAGTGGTTGTTGTTTTTCGTTGAGGCTGTGGCCCTGACGTCATAGATGTTATTGCACGAGCCGAAGGGTTTGTTGACGATGCGTGTGGATTTGTTACTTCCCCTGGTGCTGCACGTGCTCAGTGTGTTACTGGTGCTGAGCGAGATGGAATCGGCACCACGCCCCTTGTTCTGTCGTCTGACGTTCTGTTCAAAGATGGCCGGCGAGGAGCAGTACCTCGGCAGCATGTACCCAGCCGTGTCCTCCAACTCCGCGGCTTTTTTTCGCTCTATCTGCACGACGATGAGACGGTAGATGAGTAGAACGATGACGATGGTGTTCTTGCACGTGAAGAACATGTTCGTGTAGCTGAGCACGTTGTATTTGAATATGAGCAGCATTCGCAGCACGAGGAAGGGCAGGTCTTGCAGACATATAGAGATGATGATGCCGTACACATCCGGGTTACAGCAGCCGTCGTAGCCGGCGAGATGGCTGACCGGAACGAGGCCACTCCGGTCCCTCCTGACCCGCGTGGCGGTTAGAACCAGCGAGAACTGGATCAGGCTGAGAGACCAAATGCCGAGAATGACCATGCAAAGAAGTTCATTTTTGCTCACCTGCATGAAGGATTAAAACAAGGAGATATTTTAAAAAATGGATCAGTATAAAAGTATCGTCAATATTTACAAATAACACGAATCAATATTTATAAATATATTTGTTCTACTTAGCACACTTTAAATTTTAAATCGAGTGAACCTAAATTAACGAAGATTCAACCAGTAAGTTTTTATCAAACAATCATTGAGATAAACATTCAAAATAAACATAATATAAACTAACTCTGCCCTATACTTACTTATTTTCTTTCAGTGGCCATGTTTGATAAAAATATTTTCAAAGTTCTTTTTTTTTCAAATTGTAAGTTTATTTAAAGAATATATGCTCTGAATAAACCGCCAGTCCAAATACGAGAAAATAAAAATAGTTCAAGTCTCTAACAACATAGCATTTAAAACAGGGTTGGTGTAAACAGTTCCCTGGCTACAAAAGAAGCACATTTGGAGAAAGGTATCAATTTTTTGATGTGTTTTCCAAAGTGCGCAAAGAATGATGGATGAAGTTTGTTTACATTCTTTTAATTTTTTTTTTTTAAATGGGGGAACCTTTATAAAGAGTTCAATGTATCATACGTTGACGCTACCAAGTGGCTTTCATAATAAAATTATATTTTTTTCTTATTTTTGTTGCATCTTTATTGGAAACTTTAAAGTTTAACCTGCGTATTTTTGTAAGGTTTAAACATTCCTTCGAAGCGGTTAAAAAAAAGAAATATTTAAGATGTGTCTGATATAAGCCCACACAGACAGCCGTGCTAGAGCTGTATCGTGAAGACGTATCCAGGAATAACTGGTCGAAATATTTTTACATCATACAAAAAACACTTTACTAGTGGCATCGGACTATAAAAATACAAAAAAAAAAACAGTGGCATCGACCAATAAAATATACACTAAACTAATGTCAACGGCCTACAAAAATACTCTAAACAACTGGCATCGGCCTATAAAACTCTCGAGGTGGAGACAATTATTTTTAAAACGACACATTGTTGCACTGTGGTATTGAAACATACGATAATCAAAATCTTCAATGTTCATTGTTTGGCCTAAGAATTTTTTTTTTTTTACAAATTGGACGATACCTTAGTTTTGCCCCCCCCCCCACCCCCACTTCCATTGGCTTTCAAGCGGCCTCACCACAAGCCCTCCCGTGGCTACACCTCTGATCTCAGATAACGATGTACACAAATTAATGGCCCATGTCAACAATAACGAGCTGATCCATCTCATTAACCCGGCCGCTGCGGTTTGGCTGGTCGCTTTAACTATTATTTTATTTTTTACCGAGTTTAATATAATTAAATCAAATTCGCGACCATCATGAGTACAAAGTAAACCATACTGTTTATATCACAAGTAAAATGTAAACTATAAAGCAATCCATATCGAGTCTATCGCTAGTACAAAGTAATCAATACCCCTACTACCACCAGTACAAAGTGCCGCCACTATCACCAATACAAAGTAAACCATACCGCACCGACCATCAGTACACAATAAACCATACCGCTACTATCACCAGTACAAAGTAAACCATACCACTACTATCACCAGTACAAAGTAAACCATACCGCACCGACCATCAGTACACAATAAACCATACCGCTACTATCACCAGTACAAAGTAAACCATACCACTACTATCACCAGTACAAAGTAAACCATACCGCACCGACCATCAGTACACAATAAACCATACCGCTACTATCACCAGTACAAAGTAAACCATACCACTACTATCACCAGTACAAAGTAATCAATATCAAGTCTATCGACAGTACGAAGTAACCCATACAGCTACTATCACCAGTACAAAGTAAACCATACCACCCCGACCACTAGTACAAAGTAAACCATACCACCCCGACCACTAGTACAAAGTAAACCATACCGCCCCTACCACCAGTACAAAGTAAACCATACCGCCCCGACCACCAGTACAAAGTAAACCATACCGCTACTATCACCAGTACAAAGTAAACCATACCGTCTCCTCCTTGAAAGCCTCAAAGAATTCGACAATGTCCGCAGCCGTGCCGATGTAGACCAGCAGTAGCTGTGACAGCTGGTCGTGGGTCAGCTTGCCCTTGGGCAGGAACCAGCGGCCCAGGATCAGGATCAGCAGCAGCAGTTGTTCCAGGGTTCGGATCCACTCGTCAGACGACAGCCTGATGGGAATGCCGATGGTGATTTGGACCTTCAGAAAGAAAATGTTGGGGATTTTAACTTAAGCGGCGTTTGTTGTATGGCATTTGTTAAAATACATTTGTTATCAGACATTAATTGTTGTATAACATTTGTTGTATGGCATGTTTTGTATGGCATGTTTTGTATGATAACTATTGTATTACAATTATTTATAACATTTGTTATATGACATTTGTTGTATGGCATGTGTTGTATGACATTAAAATACTGTAACAAAAGACATTAAATACACGAACGCTAATTTTCTGAACTACATTCTCAACAGTTGTAAGCTTAGATGCTACCATAATTAGTATGTGACACATATTAGAGAAATAAAATAGATGAAATTGTTCTCTAGCCGTGAACCAAATGCCCTAGTGTACACACATGTACAAAAACCATTGCAACACGACATAATTAATCTTCCAGATTTTCGCATTAAAGCGTTTTTTTTTTCTAATCCAGGCTGTACTACAACATTTTTAATAACATATTTATTCTTCCAATATTTTTCGAGCTATTTCCAGAGCGCGCGCTGGATGATAATTACCGTTGATACTGACGTCACACCGGCGCGTGCTGCACCAAACGATGCGAGACAACTCCGACGATCTAGCAACATAAACATCTGCTCTAAGCAGGTTTTTTTTTTAATTTTATTTTTACACCAAGAAATAACAATTTGACGGAAATTTCTGGCTCGGAAATGTAAATTAGCTTTAACATGCTCGGAGTAAAAAATTATTTATTTAAACACTATATTTGAAAGTCGTGAACGATGTTCGTATCCAAGTTATTTCCACCTGGATTGGATTAAAAGCGGAGTAATAATATACAAAAGTATTTGCAGGCGCAAACTTCAAGTCCGAAAATTATTTATTCTAAGGACCTCATTTTACTCAAGATTGTGCACTAGTCTATACTAGGCATGCTGCCCAGCTTCGCTTAGGCTTTCAAAAACATTGAGAATTTGAATGCTTAATTAATTCGCCCGAGGGTCGGTCTACGACCTCAGGAGTTATGAAGAGGTTCCTACGTGGACAATTTTTTTTCGATTTATAGCTCATATAAGGCGCCGGTCAGTCGAGGTCTGTTTTGACCCCCTCATCGTAGACCTTTAGGCCAACCGGCACCGGCCCCCGTGTTCTGTCGCCCCAAGGCAAAATCCTGCCAAATTTGAAGCGCCTGCGGCGCCGGGAAGTGCCCGATGTCGGGCATCCGACAACTTTGCTTCATATATTATAGAGATTAGCAAATTGCATAGATAAACAAAGATTTCCAAAGTAGTTCTTCTCTTTATAGTCTAAAATAGGAAGATTCACATAAAAAAAAAAAAAATTAGGTTTGACTTGGTGTGTCTTGATCCAGCACCACCTGTCTGGTATCAAGTACACTATCATCTCAGCTAATTTAAAATGTGGAGAATAAAAGAAGTGTTTAAAAAAATAACTTAAACGAATATGCCTATTTTTCAAATTATTTTTTTTACCCAAAATTAGCCAGTTTCATTGCTAAACAAACAAAAATTTCTATAAAATATTTAAGTCCTGAAAAAGTTTATTATAGAAATTTATTTTTGGAATAGATTCTACAGTAGATAGAGCCTAAATCTAGATCTAGAATAGATCTTAGCGACGTAGCGTAGATTTAGATCTAGTCTAGATCTAGAATCTCTAGATCTAGAACCCAAATAGATAAAATAATTTTTTTAAGTTTAGGCCGAGAATATCGTATTGTGTAGTCTACATTTCATAGCGTACATAGCTCTAAATCATATTTGAATGAAATAGTTCATTTTAAAAAATTCTAAACTCGGAAGATGACGTCATCAGTTTCGTGCTCTTGTTTTAGTGTGTTAGTGTAAACAATAAGCGACTTCATTGTTAAATGCATTCTTGTCCCAAGTTTATACACTTTTCCGGTTGCATAAATAATACTGTTTCTCTACATTCGAATACGCCTTTATTTTTTATTTTTCTTCTTTAAATAAAATTGTGGTTATACATTTAAAACATCTAACATATTATTTTCAACAAAAGTCCGTAAAAAGTTCTTCATATATCGCTGCCGATTCTGACGTGATGTCCGGCGAAAATATTTTGCGGACAGAGAGAGAGAAGTGCGCACATGGGGAATTATATATTAGGATTAAACTTAAATAATTCAAATTATATAAGCTCGGAAATTGCAATATTTTAAAGTAGAATTTCAAATGAGAAAATTTTATTTTTACACACGTATGCCTTCAGATCTACGCATAGAGTTTCTATTTTATATTTTAACATTTCAAATATTTTTAAATATAGGGACACGCCTCATTCATTCCGTCCCTCCTTCTCTCACTACTTCTCTCCCTCCTTCTCTCCCTCCTTCTCTCACTACTTCTCTCACTACTTCTCTCACTACTTCTCTTCCTCCTTCTCTCACTACTTCTCTCACTTCTTCTCTCACTACTTCTCTCACTACTTCTCTCACTACTTCTCTCACTACTTCTCTCACTACTTCTCTCCCTCCTTCTCTCACTACTTCTCTCACTGCTTCTCTGCCTACTTCTCCCTTATAAAGCCACATCAAACATTTATTGTGCAGAATCAAAGTGGGATTCAAACAAACAAACCTGCCCTGACTATTAAACCTAGAAAAGAATAACCAAATCCATTTCTACCCCCGACTAAATGTTCCCATCAATATGTTTCCCAAAATGAAAAAAAAAACACTGTTTAATATTTTTCTTTTCTTTAAAAGGAAAAACGCTATAAATCTCACATTAATAGTGTTAACTATAAAATGTGTTTAAAATTAAAATTTTTTTACCCCTAAGGGAGAACCTAAGTCAGCTGTCAGCTCCTCTTTTGTTGCGTTTCTTGCTGTCTCTGCGGCACTGTAGTTGGACTGCAGCCTCTTCTCCAGCTCGTGTAGTTCCAGGAACCAAATGGTCGGAACTATACACATCAGGTAGATGAACACACTAGGGCAGAACCTGTAAGTAGGAGACACATCAGGTAGATGAACACACTCGGACAGAACCTGTAAGAAAAGGTGGGACACATCAGGTAGATGAACACACTAGGGCAGAACCTGTAAGTATGGGAACACATCAGGTAGATGAACACACTAGGGCACAACCTGTAAGAAAAGGTGTGGACACATCAGGTAGATGAACACACTAGGGCAGAACCTGTAAGAAAAGGTGGGGGACACATCAGGTAGATGAACACACTAGGGCAAAACCTGTAAGAAAAGGTCGGGACACATCAGGTACATGAACACACTAGGGCAGAACCTGTAAGAAAAGGTGGGGGACACATCAGGTAGATGAACACACTAGGGCAGAACCTGTAGGAAAAGGTGGGGGACACATCAGGTAGATGAACACACTAGGGCAGAACCTGTAAGAAAAGGTGGGGGGGGGGGCTATACACGTCAGGTAGATGAACACACTAGGGCAGAACCTGCAAGTAGGAGACACATCAGGTAGATGAACACACTAGGACAGAACCTGTAAGAAAAGGTGGGGGACGCATCAGGTAGATGAACACACTAGGGCAGAACCTGTAATAAAAGGTGGGGGACGCATCAGGTAGATGAACACACTAGGGCAGAACCTGTAAGAAAAGGTGGGGGACGCATCAGGTAGATGAACACACTAGGACAGAACCTGTAAGAAAAGGTGGGGGACGCATCAGGTAGATGAACACACTAGGGCAGAACCTGTAAGAAAAGGTGGGGACACATCAGGTAGATGAACACACTAGGGCAGAACCTGTAAGAAAACGTGGGGGACACATCAGGTTGATGAACACACTAGGACAGAACCTGTAAGAAAAGGTCGGGACACATCAGGTTGATGAACACACTAGGACAGAACCTGTAAGTAGGAGACACATCAGGTAGATAAACACACTAGGGCAGAACTTGTAAGAAAAGGTGGGACACATCAGGTAGATGAACACACTAGGGCAGAAACTGTAAGTAGGGGACACATCAGGTAGATAAACACACTAGGGCAGAACCTGTAAGAAAAGGTGGGGACACATCAGAAAGATGAACACACTAGGGCAGAAACTGTAAGTAGGGGACACATCAGGTAGATAAACACACTAGGGCAGAACCTGTAAGAAAAGGTGGGGACACATCAGGTACATGAACACACTAGGACAGAACCTGTAAGAAAAGTTGGGGGACTATACACATCAGGTAGATGAACACATTAGGACAGAACCTGTAAGTAGGAGACACATCAGGTAGATGAACACACTAGGGCAGAACCTGTAAGAAAAGGTGGGGGACTATACACATCAGGTAGATGAACACATTAGGGCAGAACCTGTAAGAAAAGGTGGGGACACATCAGGTAGATGAACACACTAGGGCAGAACCTGTAAGAAAAGGTGGGGACACATCAGGTAGATGAACACAACAGGGCAGAACCTGTAAGAAAAGGTGTAGACACATCAGGTAGATGAACACACCAGGGCAGAACCTGTAAGAAAAGGTGTAGACACAGCAGGTAGATGAACACACTAGGACAGAACCTGTAAGGAAAGGTGGGGACACATCAGGTAGATGAACACACTAGGGCAGAACCTGTAAGAAAAGGTGGGGACACATCAGGTAGATGAACACACTAAGGCAGAACCTGTAAGAAAATGTGGGGGACACATCAGGTAGATGAACACACTAGGACAGAACCTGTAAGTAGGAGACACATCAGGTAGATGAACACACTAGGGCAGAACCTGTAAGAAAAGGTGGGGGACTATACACATCAGGTAGATGAACACACTAGGGCAGAACCTGTAAGAAAAGGTGGGGACACATCAGGTAGATGAACACACTAAGGCAGAACCTGTAAGAAAATGTGGGGGACACATCAGGTAGATGAACACACTAGGACAGAACCTGTAAGTAGGAGACACATCAGGTAGATGAACACACTAGGGCAGAACCTGTAAGAAAAGGTGGGGGACTATACACATCAGGTAGATGAACACACTAGGGCAGAACCTGTAAGAAAATTTGGGGGACACATCAGGTAGATGAACACACTAGGACAGAACCTGTAAGAAAAGATGGGGGACTATACACATCAGGTAAATGAATACACTAACACAGAACCTGTAAAAAAAATGGGGGCGTCACACATGCTTTGAACAAAATTGAGGTGTTTAAATAAAGTCTTTTATGCCTATTCAAAATTTAAGAAGACAAGTCGTCAATAAAAAAGAACAAAAATCTGTGTAAAATATTACATAAACAAGTTTTACTAAACGATTGTTTATGTAACAGAAACGAGTGTTTACCAAAAACAATTTAAAAAAAAAATTAAAACCAAAAAAATTGTTTGTATAACCTCACTGTTTTGAGAGAGCTAATGAAGAATGAACTCCCAAAACAATAAAAGCTGTTATTTCTTGTGTGTAATTATGGCCCCTGTTACTAAATTGCCTCCCCTGTTTCAGAGAGTAACTCGAAGACGTAATGAAGGGAAACGGATCAGGGGCAATAACCGAAGCAGACATTTGAGACGAACCCAACACAGGGGCAATAACTGTTAGAACGCGATATCGCAATTTCGGTGGCTTTTATTTGCATTGAGTTTTGTGTCTGTGTTGTGAACGGCAGACTGGGAAAATCCGGAACAATTCTTGCCAAGGGTGTGTGGAAAATGTCGAACAAAGGCAAAACAAATCAAGTGTTGGAGGTTATGAGTTGAATTCACGGCCAATCAACAGTTGCCGCATGCGCCACGTTCAGGGTTTTTTTTTTAAAAATTTCTCCGAATGAGGGGAGGGGGCATTTAAAATTATACTGGGGGGGGGGGTGGAACACTGGTTAAAGTAGATATTTTCTATATAAATAGTTATTTTTCGTCTTGGGTAAGGGGGCGGGGAGGGTGGGGGAAGGAATGTGGACGTGTGCCCTCCAAACTCCAAACCGGAGTGACTGAAAGCAATTTCTCTTATGGATTGAGTCATTTATACCAGGAGACGAAGCCTGTAATTTGTGGATGGTGCTGGCTACTTTATATTTTGTAGTACTAGCTCTAAACTTTATAAACATTAGCGTTAACTCTAATAGTTTTATAGAAAGACGCTAGCTCTTAAAAAAAAGTCCTAAATCTAAAACGTACCACTTTCTCAAAGTAAAACACTAAGATTTGTGACATTGAATTATTTTTTTCCTATTTGGCTGAAACATTTTTTTTTAACTTTAATCTAAGCAATTTTACGTCTTATATTGTAGCTAGCAGCCAGTTTTCTAGAGTTTAAACTTGCAATACTCTAAGTAAAACTTCGACATCAGCAAACAAACTATCAGAGTGTCAAAGCTCATGGTTGCTAAACCGAAATGTCCTGAGTTCGAATCCCCGAACAGATAAGATACGATAGTTGGGATAGCATCCCATACAGTTAAGAAAACTCCGAAAATCAAACAACTTCTGCGTTGTAGTTCCTTTTTTTTTTGGAAATTCCGTCCAACATTTAAGAACGAAGAAGAAGAAGAGTGTAAAAATAAAATAAAGGTGCATGTCTTACACCGTGGATGGATGCGAAGGGTGGGGATGTGGGTGGGGTGGAGCGGGATGGATCCATTCAAGATCTAGGTTGGAAAGGTAAGCTGTAATAAATTACCCACAGGCCAATCTAGGTTGGAAAGGTAAGCTGTAATAAATTACCCACAGCTCAATCTAGGTTGGAAAGGTAAGCTGTAATAAATTACCCACAGGCCAATTACTGCAAGCTCCGATTGCTGGCTGATAAGTGCCACGGCAGATAATGAGCAAGGGAGTGTTCGCTGACCCGCGGGTCGTTCACTGCTCCGCCAGGCTACAGTTTAAATTCTATCGGCACATAGGAGTGTTCGCAGAACTGAACCGCGGGTCGTTTACGGTCCGTTAGGCTACAGTTTAAATTCTATCGACACATAGGAGTGTTCGAACTTTGACTTAGTATCGTTTCAGTTAGGTAAAAGAAACTACATATAGTAGGCCTATATGTTTGTTCTTATAGCAGTACGTTACGCTTTTTCCGATTTCTCAAAATAATATCATTTCTTTTTGACCGATTTATTTCAAACTTTTCACTCAATGACAATGAAATGTGAGATAAAATTTGACTTAATTAGATGTTAATTGAACTTTTTTTTTTAAATTATCAATATTAATCAATATTTCACGCAATTCTTAGTTACCTAAAAATTTAAAATGTTTTTAAACTAAATTATCTGCCTCTAATAGCCGTCACTAAACCCGGCTCTACGATTGTAAACATTTAGCGTGAACCACAGCTCACCAGACCATATGGGGGTGGGGGTGGTAGGGATATGCTTAGAGAGGAAGAGAGGGGGCTGCTAGGCGCGTTTACAGCTTGGTGTTTTCTAGGATATCCAAGAAGAGAATTATATATATAGATGCGCTTTTAGTGAACGGGGGGGGGGGGGTAGTGGAAATAACTGTGGGTGGAGTTTTGTGGGTGTATTTTCTACTGGAGGGGGTCGAGGGGGTGTGGGTGGGCTGCTCGAGCATGTAAATCTTATGTCTGACTCTAAATTGACATTAATCACTTTATGTGCAGGTGACTAGCTGTTTAGGGCGGAGTTTGTGAAATAAAAGCACCAACATTTTTACACGAGTTTTAATTTTAAACAGTTACAACTCTTTTGATAGATTTAGAATTCAGCAAACACTTTAAAAAGTGAAAGCAACTTTATGTAAAGTGCACTTAGTTGTGATGTTTTAACAATCTAATTGTACGTTTCAAGATCAACCAATCAAAAGCTTAGATCGTGTTTCCCTTAACATTTTAATCTGCGCATTTCGCTTCATTAGTTGCATTAGCGCGGTTAAAGTGTTTAACCCTCAATCACCCAACTCTATCGTAACTCTCAGTTAAATCCTTTAACCCTTATTCGCCCGTCCTATCGCGACTATCTCTTCAAGTCTTTAACCCCTATTCACCCACTTTATCATAACACTCATCGACAATAAAACGCCATGACCTACGAAAACTACGAGTCAATGAAGTTAGAAAAGTGGAGGCTACTCTAAATTTTAATGAGGGGGCGCTGTTTTCTTCCAGCGCGTGGTAAACACAATCGTATCAGTACTGATGCACCGCCTGCACACAATCAGTGAATGGCTAATTTTATAAATAGATTACGTTTTGGTTCCCACGCAACCAGGGCGGCTAGTGGTTCTCAAAATGTGCTCATTGTTGCAGGTGGTAGTCTGTGAATTCATGCAAGAAAAACTACGATCGTTCAAACATTTTAAAAAATTTCTTGGCGGTTGTAAGTAGTAGGTTAAGAGAAAATAGGCTTGCAGTGTTATTTGGATAACAAGACATGTATACATTAATTCTGGTCAAACTATTCAGGGATCCAGGGAATAGGACGGAGTGGTCGGGTGGTAGACCTCACGACTGCTAACCTGAAAGTCTCGAGATCGGATCCAGGGCTCAAGTCTGTAATACGTCCCTGAGTATATCCAGCTTAGATGGGCACATGACTCACGTGAGGGAAACAAATTCGGCTTGGCATAGTGCTGACCACACTATTCTCTTGTATGCCGTGGCCACTGAAACAGAAATCTACTTCATCTGCACCATGTATCTTGGGCAGGAACGTGAACAGACGATGATGATTCAGGGAGCGTCACATGATGTTATATTAAATCTGATATTTAAAAAATAATGGAAACTGCCTGAGTTCGGATACCATATCTATATTACGCCATCCCCTATTTCACATCAGTATATAATTAACTGACGTAAATTAACAAGACGGACTACTTGCATACATTCTTTAAGCCGCATACAGCCACACAGCCGTATGTACATATTGAGCCGCATACAGTTATAGGGCCGTGTGTACATGTTGAGCCGCATGCAGCCGTGTAGCCACATATTGTCGACCACTGAATTAGGGCACCACATGGAATTAGTTGTGAGTAGATTACCGTAATGAAGCACATATTAAATGTTGACCCTGTTATTGGTTGGCTTACATATTAGATGGTCGCCTTGTTACTGGTTAATTGTGTTCGCGTTAGGCTTTCATCTTAAACATTTAGCACTGTAGCGTTGTAGAATCCACACAGTGAGATCAAAATGTATTTAGTGTGACAAAGATATCAGTATTTTAGATTTTAGTTTCACTGAAATCACATGAAAATACACTGTTTATGACCCGAAAATAATAAAGCCAAAACAACTTTTATTATTATTTTTTTTTAAATTTTAGCTTTCAAGTATGCGTTGTTTATGGGATAATGTATTCACGATGCTATCGGTATTTTACACACCGTTATACGCACGCTAAATCAATCTCCGTGATTTTAATCTCAAAGAGGAAGGAACGACTAGAAAAACGCCAGACAGAATTTACGCATTTCGCACTGGGTAAATTGCCGAGTTTTTAAACTCCCTGTGATTAAATCATCAGCTGTTGTGTCGGTTCTCAAGCGACCTTGACCTTTCAGCCAAAACACTTGGGGTTTTAAGGCACTGAGGTTAGATTGATGGCAGTAAATAAAATAAAGCCTCCGCCATTCTTTCTTTTTTTAAAATTATTTGAAGTGCTGGTTTTTCTGTGTAACTAATAATAACATATCAACCTTATTTTGAGGCTGGATTTATTCAGTTGCGTTGGTGCACATTTGTGAGTTAAATCAGGCCTATTGCAGCGATGAGATTACAAATCTATGATTGCACTACACATAAACAATCACAGAGACAAAATTTCTTATGTATAGCTCGACAATATACATTGATTTAAACCAGGGGTCTCCAAACTTTTCAGTCCGAGGGCCGCATTAAATATCAAATTTCTGTTCGGGGGCCAGTTTCTTCCAGGGATGTTTTTGATTTTTCTGGGCAAAGTTCCTCATCATCACAAACTAACGGTTTTCCCGTGGACAAAAAGATCTCCGCGGGCCGGATGAGAGGACTTCGCGGGCCGCATCCGGCCCGCGGGCCGTAGTTTGGAGACCCTTGATTTAAACAAAACATGCGTCTCCCTCCCTATCCTAGACCCAATTTAGGATACGCCTTAAATTTTAACCGGGAAATGTTCATGAGCCATCAGATCTAAATGTGTAGCTAACTTAGTGGTATAATTTTAACATCAAGAGGAGGATGGATAAAATGGGCGTCGATTTTCTCAAAATATTTAGTTGCCAGAAAAAAAATTCTCTACACCCCTAAAATGACGAGCTTATACACCCCTAAAATGACGAGCTTATACACCCCTACAATGACGAGCTTATACACCCCTAAAATGACGAGCTTATACACCCCTACAGTGAGAGCTCATACACCCCTACAATGATGACCTTATACACCCCTACAGTGATAGCATATACACCCCTACGCTCGTGTTTTTAAATGCACGTGCTTTCAAATGCACGTGCACTCGTTTAATCCAAAACCTTGCGCTATGTTGCACTTTTTGCCGCAGTTTAAAAAATCCATCCACGGGCGTTGCGCTAATACCTTCTGCACTTTCAGTTTTATAACGAAACCTGTCTTTAATCTTCCCCCCCAGCCCGGCCCTTCTCCCCGTACGTGAAGATTGGTCCCAGGTATTTCATTTTTAGCCAAGTGATTTTTAATTTGTTTTTATAGCGTCAGACATTAGACGGATCTGCGTGAAGTTGGAAGACTCGACTTCGCTGTTTTTTTTTATTCTAAAATATTACAAAACTAGCCGTACCGACCAGGCTTGGCATGGGCAGAAAGGTAAAAAGAAAAGTTTAGGATTTACTACAATTGCTATGATTGACCCAAGACGTTTTGAAAAAAAAATTAAAACATTTATCTGTTCATAAATTTAGTTATATATAAGTTAATGGGACATTTAAAACATGATTACATTGATACAAATTCTTATTTTATAAGAATATTACATTTTTACTACTACCATAACAACTATGTATGTAAACAATGAATTTTGTTTACGCAATCATAGAAATTCAATTAAATAAACAAACCCTACTCTATCACTAATAATAAGACAATGCGATGCACTGAAAAGCACTGCATGGTGCGATGTTTATTTTTATGGTTCCAAAATCTATAGCAGGGGTCTCCAAACTTTTCAGTCCGAGGGCCGCATTAACTATCAAATTTCAGTTCGGGGGCCAGTTTCTTCTTGATCTTTCTGGGCAAATTCCTCAGCCATCACCAACAAACGTTTTTTCCGTGGACAAAAAGATCTCCGCGGGCCGGATGAGAGGACATCGCGGGCCGCATCCGGCCCGCGGGCCGTAGTTTGGAGACCCCTGATCTATAGCAATGACGGACTGACACACTACCACCAGCGTTATATTATAGATTTAATTTAATATGATTGTGTTTGTGTATGAGTACGTGTACAGTTACTCATTACATTATGTGTATGTGTAGCTTACCATTTCCACTCTTGTCCAGCTTTCTTACACAACGTGACCGTCATCTCGATCAGGAGGATGCACAGAACGAGACCTAGATACCAGTATTTCTGTTCTTTTGTTGCTAAGGTCAGCCGCCATATTGAAATCAGCCCATGCGCAGTGAACATCAGCCTGACTGCTATGGCTCGGCCTACAGAAAGATAGCCCATCGCTTCACACTAGTTGACCTGAAATGGTAAGAACATTGTTTATAAGCATTAAAAATGTATAACTCGACTCATCTTATTATGTACATTTTATAGCATAAATAAATAATTTATGAGACCCTATACATTATATCTGCATCGTGGTGATTACATGTACCAGTAAATTAAAAATACGTAATGACTGATGTTGATTATGTACTATGTGTTATCATTAGTTTTTGTCTTGGTATGTGTCTATTAAATGTATAGCTAGCATTATAACAGCTTTGAGTCTATTTATGTATAGTAAAAAAATTCATAGGTATGATTTTACTGTACGTCTAGCTGACGATAATCTTTTATAGAGAATAATTATAGAGAACTGTGACGTGAACGACGTGATTGAGCCACGTGACACAAATCACGTGGATCACACTAACACCACACCCTACCACAGTGGCGATGCAGGGCGGATTTAGACGGGGTTCGGTGTGTCAACAAACTCTATTTGGTGTTTTTAAAACAAGACCAACACAAAAATACGTTTCTTTTTATTGTTATTTAACTTAATTAAGTAGAGTTACTGTTTATAACACACGTGTTTTGGCCTCGGCAAATAAACGGATAATGTTGTCAGCACTAAGCCCAGCCGGTTTTACTTTCCCCAACGTAAGTCAGGTACCCATCAGAGCTGGGGGACTCAGGGACGCCCTACAGTATGAGTACTAAGTGAGATCCGAACTCGAGACCTTCTGGCGAGCAGCCAAATGCTATACCATTCGATCACGTCATTATTGTAATATAAAAAAACAATAATAATAGGAAAAAAACATTTACACATGTATTACTTGATAAGAAGAAATTGAATTGCTTTGCTTTTAAGTAGATTTGTAAATAGAAGTTAGCAATACACAGCAAGCGGAGAAACCTGTTGGCGTGGCAATAAAGTCACTCGCCGCATGCCTCAGCCAGGAGATTAGACAGGATGGAGGAATAGAGGCAACGTATTAGTCTGAGGTGAGTGCCTACGTTACACGGTTTGTGCACCTGTGTGATTTTATCTTCAGGTAAAATCACGGTCAGCCCGCTCCAGGTTCTACAAGGTTGACTTCATTAAGACGTCTGTCTGATGGTTCCACTAGACAGACTACTAGACAGACTTAAGACGTCTGCCAAATGGTTCTACTAGACAGACTTAAGACGTCTGCCAAATGGTTCTACTAGACAGACTTAAGACGTCTGTCAAATAGTTTTACTAGACAGACTTAAGACGTCTGCCAAATGGTTCTACCCCCCACGAACGAAAGGAATTTATATATATAGATATACACTTTTAACAGTGCCCCCCCCCCCCCCGAATAAAAATGTTTGGAAGAAACACTGCTTTACTCAACCTTATATATATTTTTTTTTAAATACACAAATTTAGATGAAATAATCCAAATTAGCAATTTTTTAAATTGGCATGTATGTCTCACTGTTCAGACCATTACATCTGTTAAGCGGACAGTAAAGTTAGCAGTATAAGTACGTAATATTAAACATTCAGTATGATAATGTGTTAAATAGTTATTTAGTAAATTGAAGCCTATTACAGTGTTGAAAAATATAATTGTCTTACATTTAGAATTAATTGCGTGGGTTACTTCCCATTTAGAAAAAATCAAAATCTTCTAAGGGACACAACCTTAAACTGATCTTCAAAAGCCTTAATTAAAAACAGACCAATTAGATTTGTATGACATGCAATTGACACTCATTTATTTGTATCAGTTAAAAATTAAATACTTAAGTATTTATTTAAAATATTGTCAATGTAAACAATAATTAACATTTTAAAGTATTTAAAATACTGAACCAATAACTTTTTAAAAAATACTCATTAACCTGGCGTATAAAAGAATAGAATACAATCTGTTATTTGGTCAAGGGCCAATCTGGGCCTATCAATTTGTTTCCGAGAAAAAAACAAAACAAAAAAAAAATCATAAAATTATTTGGCTACAATGAGAAACCTTGTTTGCACACCTTATTTTAGTCTAGTTCTTATGCCATTTTATTTTCTCCATTTGATTATTATATATGCAATTGATGTTCATTGTTCATGTCTTTGATGCTGTGTAAAATCTATCAAATATATTACTATTACTGATTTAAATGTTTAAAACAATTGATTTAATAAAAAGAAATATTTTTATATTTTAAAAACTAATTAAATTATTAAACTTAAATTAAAAAAAATGACAGCCCCCCCCCCCTCTTTGAACAATTTTCTTTCCACTACCCACCAGGACTCCTGACACTTTCATTTGACCTTCACCCCCTTTACTGTTATCCCTTTCAATTTTGTATAATCACATACATGACATCATGTAAATATTCATCATGTACATTTGCAAAAGCTTTCGTTTTCATTTGATGTTCGAAATTATGTAAAAAATTTGATGTTGATGTACTTGTTTTAAATTGGAAATAAAAGTATAAAAAAAAAAATGTTTCCGTTCACTGATACCATTTTACTATCAGTACCTAACTTGGTTACAAGAGACGACCAATGTCATCCACAGGATTCTTGTGGGACGGTGAAAGGGGCACACAAACATCAGCCTAGTGCCAATACCACGTTCTTTCTTTTAAAGGTACTAGTAAAAACTTTACCCAATCGTAACATCTCTAATACGTTTTGAAAGAAAATCTTTTTTTAAAATAAAATTTTAAGTACATTTACAAGTTTGTTATAATAATTATACACATATTAGACAGAATAGATAATGAGACTTGTATAGCCTTAAATAAACCATCACCGTTTTAAGTCATGATAAACATCGACTGCTCTTAAAAAAGATGAGTTGTAAAACATCTGAACATGCCAAGAAACATTTATTTTTGTGAGAACGAGGTTGTCTTTGGTTTTACATCAACAGGATCAACCCAATGCTATATCTCGTTATTAAAGCTGATAATGTAAAATTAAAAACGTGTAGCAAGCATAATCAAAGACGGATCTAGGGATCGAAGCCCACCCCAACCACCAGCCTCAACCCACCTCAATTGTAATGTAGGGATAATGTTTGAAAAAATTCGGAATATATATGGAAATTATATATATATATATATATATATATATATATATATATATATATATATATATATATATATATATATATATATATATATATATATATATATATATATATATATATACTAGGCATGCTGCCCAGCTTCGCTTAGGCTTTCGAAAACATTGAGAATTTGAATGCTTAATTAATTCGCCCGAAGGTCGGTCTACGACCTCAAGAGTTATGAAGAGGTTCCTCCGTGGACATTTTTTTTCGATTTATAGCTCATATAAGGTACCGGTCAGTCGAGGTCAGTTTTGACCCCCACATCGTAGACTTTTCGGCCAACCGGCCCCCGTGTTCTGTCGCACCAAGGCAAGATCATGCCAAATTTGAAGCGCCTGCGGCGCCGGGAAGTGCCCTATCGGACACCCGACAATCTAGATCTAGATCTAGATTCCTAAAAGAATTTTTTTTTTAAGTTTAGCCCGAGCATAATAAAAAAGAATACATTAACCAAGTTGACTTGCTGTGTCTCGAACCCGCACCACCTGCGTGGTTTAATGTACACTAACATCTCCGCTATTTAGGCACCTTATAAAATACGGAGAATGAAACACGTATTTTAAAATCTTAACTTACGCGAATATGCCTATTCTTTCAAATTAATTTTTTATCCCAAATTAGCCAGTTCATAACAAAGATTTTGTATAAAATAAATAAGTCTTGAAATAGTTTAGTCCTAATATAGAAATTTATTTTTGGAATTGATTTTAGAGAAGTTAGAGTCTAAATCTAGATCTTAGCGTCTACGTCTAGATCTAGTTATTGCGTAGATTTAGATTTAGATTTAGTCTAGATCTAGAATCTCTAGATCTAGAATCCAAATACATAAAATAAATTTTATGAGTTTAGGCCGGAAAAATTGTATTGTATACATTTCATAGTGTACGTAGATCTAAATCAAATTTGAATGAAATAGTTCATTTCTTTTCATTCTAAACACGGCAGATGACGTCAATAGTTAATGTATAAGCAATAGTGACGTCACAGTTTTATGCGTTCTTTTTCACATATATTAATGCTTTTCCGGTTGCATAAATAATACTGTTTCGCTACATTCGAATACGCCTTTAATTTTTATTTTTCTTCTTTAACTAAAATTGTGGTTATACATTTAAAACATCTAACATATTATTTTCAACAAAAGTCCTTAAAAAGTTCTCGATATATCGCTGCCGATTCTGACGTGATGTCCGGCGAAAATTTTTTGCGGACAGACAGAGAGAGAGAGAGAGAGAGAGATGTGCGAACGTGGGGATTTATATATTAGGATATATATATATATATATATATATATATATATATATATATATATATATATATATATATATATATATATATATATAAATATATGTGTGTGTGTGTGTATCAATTTATAGGCCTTTACCGCTGAGGATTTTGACATTGACCCACTTCAAATTAAACCTCTCACCTGCTATTACTAAAGCTTTCCCAAGTTACAAAAATCCGTTTTTACCTAACTAACCGTTTCTTCATTTACTTTATCCCAGAAATCTGAAAGCCGGCCATCCGGTGTAATTAGGTCACGGAAATTTCGGTTATCACAAATGACATTTCTAATTTCCGAGAAAAAAAAAAATTCCCGCTCGCCCTAAGAGTACCAACATATTGTTGCCAGATTTTTTTTTCCGGGTGTGTGTCTTGGAACCAGGTGATGGATGAAGCGATTAAACAAGGCTGCCGCCTAGAGCTGCCGGATTGGGCTGGGGGGGGGGGGAAGTTGCCCTTTCAAGTTGGGTTGATAACAGACGGATAACAAATCTAGGAAAAATAAATTAGCCATTTACTTTCGATATGACGTCAACGGATACTGTTTGCTACAAACTGGCTTTCCTCCCCTTGTCACAAACAACTAAACAGGAAGAGTAATTGGCCCTTGGTAACGTAC